CTTCTCTACTCCTGGGTATTACTGAAACAAAATGAATACCTAGTTATGATAAGCAAGGGTGACTCTACTGAAATTGTGAATTTCATGGCCCCAGGGTCAGGGGTTCTGGTGTTAGGGCGGGGCTATATAGATCATATAGTGAAAGTGCATTATTTCTTTGAAAATCTTCTTCTCTACTCATGGGTATTATTGAAACAAAATGAATACCTAGTTATGATAAGCAAGGGTGACTCTACTGAAATTGTGAAATTCATGGCCCCAGGGTCAGGGGTTCTGGTGTTAGGGCGGGGCTATATAGATCATATAGTGAAAGTGCATTATTTCTTTGAAAATCTTCTTCTCTACTCCTGGGTATTATTGAAACAAATTGAATACATAGTTATGATAAGCAAGAGTGACTCTACCAAAATTGTGAAATTCATGACCCCAGGGTCAGGGGTTCTGGTGCTAGGGCAGGGCTATATAGATCATATAGTGAAAGTGCATTATTTCTTTGAAAATCTTCTTCTCTACTACTGGGTATTATTGAAAAAAAATTGAATACATAGTTATGATAAGCAAGAGTGACTCTACCAAAATTGTGAAATTCATGACCCCAGGGTCAGGGGTTCTGGTGCTAGGGTGGGGCTATATAGATCATATAGTGAAAGTGCATTATTTCTTTGAAAATCTTCTTCTCTACTTCTGGGTATTATTGAAACAAATTAAATACATAGTTATGATAAGCAAGAGTGACTCTACTGAAATTGTGAAATTCATGACCCCAGGGTCAGGGGTTCTGGTGCTAGGGTGGGGCTATATAGATCATATAGTGAAAGTGCATTATTTCTTTGAAAATCTTCTTCTCTACTTCTGGGTATTATTGAAACAAATTAAATACATAGTTATGATAAGCAAGAGTGACTCTACTGAAATTGTGAAATTCATGACCCCAGGGTCAGGGGTTCTGGTGCTAGGGTGGGGCTATATAGATCATATAGTGAAAGTGCATTATTTCTTTGAAAATCTTCTTCTCTACTCCCTGGATATTATTTAAACAAATACATGATTATGATAAGCAAGGGTTACTCTACCAAAATTGTGAATTTCATGACCCCTGGATCAGAGGTTCTGATGTTAGAGGGGGGCTCTATTTATTATATAGTGAAAATGCTTTAAAAATCTTCTCTGCACCTGGGCATATCAGAGGCAAAAAGAGTAAAATTTTTAATAAGGAAGGGTATTTTTACCAGATTATTGAACATGATCAGGACCATTTGGTCAAGTGTTCTGGTCCAGGCCAGGGCTCTATTAATTTGTATTCTACTGAGAGGATTATTCCCCTTTGCCATTTATGTGTGATAATTAATCACTGTAAATAATGTACTTAAAAGGTTAATAGAATAAGAGAATTATGCAAGAATTTTTATTGTATAATATAAAAAGTACTTTCAAACTTTTAATGAGCAGGTAGACTTGTAAGTAATAGATAAATAAAAATGAGACAAAAATAACTTGTCTTATTAAATGTTCATCAAAGACCAAGAGAGGCCAATGTAACAATGCAACAATTTCAACAAGGAATTAAAAGAGTACAGAAGCACTGATAGTTTGTTTTTATACTGTCTGGTGAGAGTGATAAATAGGGAACAGATTAGAACCTTATTTATGAACTGTTAATGAATACTAGAATAATTATTTTGTTGATCCTGATCACCCTATTTTTCTTGCTTTTGGGCAACAAAGCTTCACCTTTCAGTTCATTTCATACTCTATGGATCCTCTAAATTGTTGTATTATACTCAGGTGACTGTTAAGGCCCTTGGGCCTCCTGTTTTATAATGGCTAGGGTATCATAGCCATGGTCTCATGATTTCCTCTGTATTTTTGGTAGCTAAACACAGTTTCATATAAAATCTGGGGGGATTTCTCAGAGAAAAGCATGATGAGTAGGGATTTCCCTGCTATTTTTATGCAGTGTTCATGAAAATTGCAGCTTTTTTATTATTATTTTGCATAAAGTAGAATCTTATTCTTAAGATTAAATGAAAGAAGTATACAAATATTTTTTTAGAATTAATTTTTGTGTGACTTTTTAATAGTGGGAGATAACTCTTAAAAACACCCATTTTTCACATGTGCTGAATTGCATGATTTGAGTAGCAGGTAAAGTAGCTCTTTAAAAAGCTGGAAAATGTACCCTAAAAGTACAACAAAAAGAAACCTAAGGACTTGTTCTCTGAAATGCACAGCACATATATTTTCTGATTTCTGCACTGTTTGTGATCAAGGGAGCTAAAAATGCATAGGTGTACTACAATTAGGCGCATAAACTTCCCTATTACCCCATGTTTCATGTGTCAAATACACCTTATTAGTAAGTGATAAATGCAATATATTTATTTATTATACTTTCAGATTAAATACTAAAATCTGATTGGTTTAGACGCATTTAACAATCCGTAATGTTACCCTCAGCATTAGCAACACACTTGACAACGGGTAACATTACGAAAATGTCACATGCCTTCAAATCATGCGCGTACAGTTCTCCGTAGAATTCTCAAAATGTCAGTTGTGCGTTTGAAAGAAGCTGAATAAATGATGTCAATAAAAGCTTGCGTCCGATGTAGCTTACTTGAAAACAAAAACGACAGATGAAACATCCTTGCGAGTGCAAACTTTAGATGATAAAGGACTTTTTGAGTAGTAAACAAACAATAAAGAGGTTGGTAAATCTTTTCCAAAGCTTTCTTGTTGAGATAAATAGAAGCGGGGAGTTTGAAAGCTTTCTAAGCGTGAACTTAACGACTATCTCCGAATTTTTTTTATGACATCTGAAATCAATAAGACGTTCAGTGTAATAAAATAAATAGTGCACATTTTTGAGGGTAACAGTTGAAATTGACACCCCAAGGAAAACCATTGTCAACCGACGCTAACGCGTCGGTTGACAATGGTTTTCCTTGGGGTGTCAATTTCAACTGTTACCCTCAAAAACGTGCACTATTTATATAATATTTATAAAATTCACCATTTTATTATGTCACCTGAGTCACTCAGGTGACCTATTGCTATCTGTTTTCGTCCGTCATCATGCGTCGTCCATCATGTGTTAACATTTGAACATTTTCAGCTTCTCCTCTGAAACCACTCAACCAATTTCAGCCAATTTTAGCAAATGGCATCTATGTGTGAAGGGGAACAAAATTTGTTAATTTCATGGTCCCTCAACCCCCTGGGGCCTGAGGGTGGGGCAAAAAATACCAAAATTTATGCAATCTTTAAAAATCTTCTTCTTTACTCCTGGACATCAAGCAGTCAAACTATTGGCATGATTGTAATAAGCATTGAGTCCTCTACCAAAATTGTGAAAGTCATGGCCCCAGGGTCAGGGGTTCTGGTGCTAGGGTGGGGCTATATAGATCATATAGTGAAAATGCATTATTTTCTTTGAAAATTTTCTTCTCTACTCCTGGATATTATTGAAACAAATTAAATACATAGTTATGATAAGCCATGGTGACTCTACCAAAATTGTGAAATTCATGGCCCCAGGGTCAGGGGTTCTGGTGCTATCATATAGTGAAAGTGCATTATTTCTTTGAAAATCTTCTTTCTACTCCTGGGTATTATTGAAACAAATTAAATATGTAGTTATGATAAGCAAAGGTGACTCTACCAAAATTGTGAAATTTATGGCCCCAGGGTCAGGGGTTCTGGTGCTAGGGTGGGGCTACATGTATATAGATCATATAGTGAAAGTGTATTTTTTCTTTGAAAATCTTCTTCTCTACTCCTGGGTATTATTGAAACAAATTGAATACATAGTTATGATAAGCAAGGATGCCTCTTCCAAAATTGTGAATTTCATGACCCCTGGATCATGGGTTCTGGTGTTAGGGCGGGGCTCTATTGATTATATAGTGAAAATGCATTAATTCTTTAAAAATCTTCTTCTCTGCTCCTGGGTATTATTTAAACAAACTAAGTACATTGTTATGATAAGCAAGGGTGCCTCTTCCAAAATTGTGAAATTCATGGTCCAAGGGACAGGGGTTCTGGTGCTAGGGCGGGGTTATATAGATCCTATAGTGAAGGTGAATTATTTCTTTGAAAATCTTCATCTCTGCCCCTTGATATTATTTAAACAAACTAAGTACATTGTTATGATATGCAAGGATGCCTCTTCCAAAATTGTGAATTTCATGGCCCCAGGGTCAGGGGTTCTGGTGAAAGGGGGAGGCTCTATTGATTATATAGTGAAGAAGCAATATTTCTTTGAAAATATTGTTTTCTGCTTCTGGTTAAAAAGCAAAGAAGCTAAGTGTATAGCTATGATGAGCAAGAGTGCTTCTTCCAGAGTAGTGAATTTTATGACCCCTGGGTCAGATATGCTGGTGTAAGGGTGGGGCTCTTGATAATGTAGTGAAAATGCATTAATTCTATTAAATAATCCTGTCTGCTCCTTAGTGTTAAGCAGATTAACAAAGTGATTACTTATGATGAGCAAACTTCTGGTCCCAGGGTGAGAGGCTCTGGTGTTTTTCAGTGGGGAAGGGGGGGGGGGGCTCTATCTACTTCAGAGAATTTTGGAGACAAATTTGATGCAATACTATCAGGATTGTCCCTAAGAATTGAAATAACAGGGGACATTAAAAAAAAATAGAAGGGGGACTGGGGTTCTTATAGGGGGTTGAAGGAGAATACCAAAATAACTGGGGGATTAAGTTATTACAGGCAGGGAAATTCACCAGTCCCTGGGTCTTAGGGACAGCCCTGAAACTATGCTGAACAAAATTCCCTTCCACTTTGTTAAATTCCTGTGATTCCAAGGTTTGAGTTCCAGCTAAGGCTGAGTTGGTTATAACCTGAAAAACCCCTGATACTCAGGTGACTGTCAAGGCCCATGGGCCTCTTATAAGTATTATAAGTAAACTTTAGTACAGAATATTATGTCTAGTAGTAGTTAAATTTATGATTATGTGGTATGTCTTAAGAGCATGAGACCTGTGTTGTAGGTGAGAAGCCATACCGTTGTTGTTTTGATGGTTGTGACCGGGCCTTTGCTCAGATGGCCAATCTTCATCATCATATGAGAAACCATGAAGACCATGTGAAAAAGGCAGCTAACAAACAATACCAGTGTTCTGTGTGTAGCCGGGCCTACACAAATGAGAGCAGTCTCAAAAATCACACACTGAAGGTCAGACTTCTTAATTATTCAGTCTCAAAAATGTGTTAACTTCAACATCCATTTTCTAAGAATTGAAATGACACATGGTCAGTTTTTGCTGAAGGTACATCCATTACCATAGCTCACCTTTATGAAGTCATGGAGGGTTATACTATTTGTCTGTTCTTGTATGAATGATTTGCAAATATGATGGTTGCAAAAATTCTTGCTTAAAATGTGTAATGGGACCTTCATATGTACTGTTGATAAATAATAATTTGCTAAGGAATGTTTCCTGTATTTACAGTTCCTAGTAACTATAAAAACTTTCACAGAACAAAAATTACTCAAATCATGCAGCTAGAGATTCTTACTATACACTGTGGAATTCACACATTTCACCCATATTTTTAAATAGATGAGATTTAATCAGGTGTAACTTATCAAATGATGTTCATCTATAAAATAGCAAAATAAATTTTAAAGGGTGAAATGCCAGTGGGCAAAAATAAAACTAGGTGAAAATTTTTCGTAGTACAGTATTTTCAGTTATGGTTTAAGGTTGCATATGACCTTTCTCAAAACGAAACAAATGTCCAGGTTGAAAATGTTTTTGGAATATGTTAATACTTGTTAACAAACCCCTAGACTAAGTGTACATCTTAGTAAATTTCCTATGCATAGCTTCATGTGATTTTTAATTTTTGAATAAATAAAATACCTTGAAATGGTGGTATCATATGATATTTGTGAAGGTTTGCAATACCCTCCCCCCCCCCCCCCCAAAAAAAAAAGAAAAACTTTAAGATATCGTTTTTTAAACAAAATAAATATTTTTTTCATCTGTTTAAATTAATCTTCAAGAATTTTTTTTATTACTGATAAATATGTGAAAAATTACTTTAAGACAACATATAACATTGAGAGATTTTTTCTAAAATTGAAAGTAGTTGCCCACTTGAAATGGAACTTTCGTATTCCTTGTTCTACTTGTATATCTTTTCAATGGTTTTGTTTTCGATTGCAGATGCATGTGAATGTGCGTTCTTTGGAAGCCCCGTACCCTCTCCCTTACAAACCAAGGAAACCACGGCAGTCTAGCACAAATAACTCCATGGTAACCAAAGAGAAGGATTTCCCAACATCGACTAGAGGGAGCTCTGTACCCCTTTCTTTTGTTAGTGACCCAAGGGCATCTAACTTCAGTCGTTTTGTTGACCTCCACAAAGAAACTCTGTCTAGACCAATGGATTCAAATCAACTTTCACCAAACATGGCTGCTGAGCAATCTAATAATATATCATCCACTACTATTTTGCCATCGTCTCATCACATGCAGACCCCTTTGATACCCTCACATCATCTTCCCCCTCTTTCTCTCATGCCCACCAATGTCCCGCCCTCCTTGATGTCACCTTCATTTATATCTCATCTTCAGCAGGCTGTACAGAGTAGTTCAGGACATGCCAACCACTTAATGTCATCAACACGACCCACACCACAAGAAATCAGATCCTCCCCACTTCCTCAGCCACCAACCAGCAGTAGCTCTCGTGTCACACCCACCTCTCAAGACCAGAGATCCACCCCCCAGGAAACCTTGTCATCCCAAACCAACAGAGATTCTAGCACACCACATAAAGAAGCAGCAGAACCAGCCACCAGTCTGGGTGTTCCCTATAACCCCCCACTACCCCATCCCTTCACCGTCCCTCAAACCTCCCTCCCCCTATCTCTACCCTCAAGACTTAACTCACACTTTAACTGTCTTTTAAAGACATCTCCAGCTCATGTGGATTTTTCGTGACAGAGTAAAGCTCACAACTAGTCTTTTCAGCAAAGTAGAACAAATAATAGTAATTAATTTTAATTATTTTGTATTGTCAATATTTGCTGTTAAAGCAGCATTAGATTTTACACAGAATGTATTTTTATTTCTGTACTACTTAGTAGTATGGCTTTGTTTGTTGTTAAAGTATTATAAAGTTTGTGTACTACATGTATATGTATTATTCTTAGTATAACTTGTTAAATTCTATTTAAACAGTAATTACCAAATTGTTGTACTGTAAAGGTACATAAAACTCAAAATTTAGCACAATCTTCCCCATCAACTGATTAAACATGAATCAACGCATTTGGAGCAAAGCTTCTATATGTATTTGTTGAAATGATAATTTATCATGTATTTGAATTAGCAGACAAGAAGCAGCACGGAAGGTGCTAAAATACCATACCTGCTAAAATAAGTACCTTTACAGTAATTATACCAATGTTGATCATAGATTTACATTGAATTTTTTTTGTACATTGAATTAGGATAGGACAAACTGGTGCAACATTAAAATAAGTTTTAATAGTGCAATGAAATGCTGTCAAGTTTTAGAAATGCACTAAAGTTGTAAATAATTATGTTTGATGAAAGTATAAAGTGCAACAATTTTTTTTCTAGGAAAAAAAGCCTTATTAGTCAACCCTGAAGCAGGGTTCAGTCTTCTCGACCTGTTTTGATCTCAGACTTTCAAATAATATAGGTATTGTATTTAGCTTTCAAACATTGTACTAGCACCTAGATAAGAATGAAGAACATTACCATTATCTTTTGATGTAATGTACTGTTATCTTCAACATTCTGAACAATCAGCTAAGAGGATGTATTATAAAAAATCTAACCTTAGCTCAGATGTAATAATCACTGTCCTATCTTATCTTATTGTTTGTGTGTAAGTTGATACATATGTATCTGTGTGTTTGTTTGGATAATTTTTTATTTTTTTTAGTTACCAGTTAATCCTATGCAATACTTGTGTTCCTCTATTTGTTAATTTCAAAAAATCATCAAAGTAGGCAGGTGGGTTTTTTTTTAAAAACCAAATTGGAATTAATCTTTAATAATTTCAACAAGAATTTTCTAATTAATATGCTGAAATAATTTTTCTTACTAAAGAAATATTTTGTTGGTTGACAGGAAAGGGTCAATTGTAAATTATACAGGAGCTTGCATAATATGTTATTGACGATCAACCTTTTTTACAGCATATAACCATGTTAAGGTGTTAAATGCTGAATTTTATTGTATTTTTGTTGGTGTAAATTTTAATGACATTTTATTTATATTTGATTGTTGACTTATGTTGTTGGTTTTGTAGAATCTCCATGTTTTTCTTAGCACACAGGGGGCAGAGGGATTGTGTCAATTCTAGGAAACACATAAGCTGACCGCTGTGTATTATAATGTTGACGTTTTAAAATCATTCTGTGTTAAACAGACCACTGCATAATGAGTAGACAACTACACCTTTAGTGCTAAGTTCTATATGCAGTGTGGAGGGAATTATTCTGCATCAGCACATAATACATCAGGGTAACTTTAACTATATAAAAATATAAATTTGGTAATTTGAAAGAGTAGGGGATTTTTGTACCAGTGTTGTGTAAATATGTGGGGAAATTTGGGATAATTATGTAGATATTTGTGTAGTTTTTCAGGTAAGCCGTGTGACCCTCTGTCCCAGTTGTATAGTCCAATCTGCTTTGTTTCATACTTTGTTGTCATCAGTAGAATAAATGAAATACTAATTAAGTTGATTTGTTTTAAGTGATCTTATCCTTTAAAAAAAATAAATAAATAAATAAAAAAAACCAAGATCATACTGCACTGTATAGTAGAAATTAACAATGTTTATTAGACCAGTGAAGTTCATTAAAGCTTAATTATTATATCCCCGCTCCGAAGGAGAGGGGGGTATACTGTTTTACCCTTGTGTGTCTGTCTGTGTGTGTGTGTGTCTGTCTGTCCGTAACAAATTTTTTGTCACCGTTTTCTCAGCAACTACTCATCACAGATGCTTGAAATTTTAGCACACTCTTTATATAGGCGTGCCATATGGTGGGATTCATTTTTGTACGAATCCGTGGTCAACTTCCTGTTTATCCATGCATCTGTCCGTACCATACATAACAAATTTTCGTCACAGTTTTCTCAGCAACTACTCATCACAGATGCTTGAAATTTTAATACACTCTTTGATTAGGCATGCCATATAGTGGGATTCATTTTTGTATGAATCCTTGGTCAACTTCCTGTTTATCCACATGTCTGTCTGTACCATTACATAACAAATTTTTGTCACAATTTTCTCAGCAACTACTCATCACAGATGCTTGAAATTTTAGCACACTCTTTGTTTAGGCATGCCATATGGTGGGATTCATTTTTGTACGAATCCGTGGTCAACTTCCTGTTTATCCATGCATCTGTCCGTACCATACATAACAAATTTTTGTCGCAGTTTTCTCAGCAACTACTCATCACAGATGCTTGAAATTCTAACACACTCTTTGTTTAGGCATGCCATATGGTGGGATTCGTTTTTATATGAATCCGATGTCAACTTCCTGTTTATCTTTGCTTAGAGTGTATATTCACATCAGAGTGGGGGTATTACTAGTGAGCTTTGGCTCACAGACTTCTTGTTTAGAATTGCTTTTGAATACTGGATAACCTATATTGCATTGAGAAGCTAATTATTATATCAATTCTAGCCTAGGCACATCTGCAAAAGAGTTTATGTATAAGCACATTAAAAATCTCATGTAATGTTGGCATGTTATCTGGTGTGGTTGGTCAAGAGGCTAAGAGATTTGGAATTTAAATCCATGCAGTTCTGAATGTTAATGCCTGCATCATGCAGAATCAAAATTTCCTTCATTGATCTACATTTCTCAATATATCCTGTTGAGTTTGGCTTTGTCCAGGGGTCAACTTGTGAGTAGAGATGACATCCAATCCACTAGTGCTACTGTAAATACAAAATTGGATCAGCACATGGTTTATGTGGTAGTGTAAGATGCATGGCATCCTGCTAGGTTGGACTAGTGGGTTAACTCTTTACCTCAATTGGTAGAGCACTGGACTGGCATGCCAGAGGTCCTGGATTCAAATCCATTCAGAGAGACACAAACATGTCTCTATTACATTTGGTGCCCAACATAGTACCTGGGTATTCTCTAGCAGGTGAAAGTAATTGCCCCTAGAACTTCGCCCCACAGGTGTTGACACTCCAAAGGAGATAAGGACATCTCGTTCTCTGGAGGAGGGAGGAGGCATGGTAGTGTAAGACATATGACATCTTACTATCTTGGGCTTGTAGGTTAGCCCTTTTAATAGTTTGATTGGTAGAGTACTGAACTGGCATGCCAGAGGACCAGAGTTCACATCTATTCTGAGGCACAAATCTGTCTCTGTTTCACTTATATTATGGTCTGTATGAAAATCTACCTGAATTTGTTGATTTTTATTGTCTTTTCCAAGGTGTACTTTAAGGACAGATGATACAAACTTTTATCAAAAATCTTGAAAATAACAAGTCAACTGTATATAAATAAAATCAATATGTTTAACTGCATAGATTTTTATTTTTCAATAAAATTTTTCACAATAACTTGATTTAAAGTGACAAAAAGTTGCATAGATTGATAAGGAAAGCTGCAGAAAGGGGGAATTTTGAACATTGTAGAAAGTTTACAATTTCTTAATATTGTAGAAATTTATTATTCGAATCATTTATATATGTACTACCAAAATTGGTTAAAAAATATTTATCAATCCAGGCATCCTTTTCTTTGTTTGTATCGTTTCTTCTTAAAGTTACAAATCTTTTGACAAGGAAGTGAAGGTTACTGAAACTGCAGGTGCAATTTATGAATTACCATTATAAAATCTTGAAACTGAAGTGGTATGTGATACAGATGGACAAGAATTTGTGATCAGTTTACGTTTTATGGACAGCCAGTGGTTGTGTGAATGATCCATAAGTGCAAGTAGAAGATGTCAAAACCTGTTTATTTATTTCCTTGTTTATTAGTCCCCTACCGGAGAAACCGGTTTCCTCTGCATCTGTCCCTCTGTCTGTCCCACTTGGTTTTCCGCACTTTTTTCCTAAACGCTTGCAGATATTGGGTCAGGCTGATTTTTAGTATGCGAGTGTATCTTGATGAGTTAAAGATCAAGTTTGCATTTCGTTCCACTTCATTGATTTTTGACCGAATTACGACCTTTTCAATTTTTTAGGGTTTTTCGCATTTTTTTAAAAACGCTTGCAGTTATTGACCTGATTTTTGGTATCTGACTTTACCTTGATTAGTTATAGATCAAGTTTGCATTTCGTTCCGCTTCAATGATTTTTGGTGGAATTACGGCTTTTTCAATTTTTAACTGGAACCAGATTACACTTGCCAGTAGAGGACTAGTATTGCTAATGCAATACTCTAAGAATGCTTGTTTATATTTAAATAAAACATTCAGAGCAGAAAGAAAAAGCTTTCAAACGGTTAAGATTTTTTTTTTTTTTTTGGTATTCATAGAAATTGAATATATCAAGCTAATTTACACGTAATGTTTGATAATATAGCAATTAAAAATGTACTGCAAAAACTTTTTCCATGTTTTATAAAACACCTTGGGATAATTTATCTTTTCTGCCAAAAAAAAAAAAGATCAAGAATAAAAAATTAAGCTTTTAATTTGCTTAAAAAACAAATTTTAAGAAGCGAGTAGTAAAACTGAGATATACAGCTGTAAAATGGCTCTACTTTTATATCACTGCTCTTACAACATATTAAATCATAAGTCGTTGGTATAACATTTAAATATTTATATCTCTTAAATATCTATATCTCTTAAAATATGTGTAAAAATATATTTATTCCATCACAGACGACATAGTCAAATTGACATAAAAACGACCATTTGAAATTTTACATCAAACTTCTGAAAAAGAAAATTCCATTACTTAAAAAAATGTGAAAGTCACACTTGAAAAAAATGTTACAACTAGGAAACACTCTATGACAAGAACTTATTATAATTTGAGAAGAAAATACAAAGCAGAATAGTGACTTGTAAAATTAACATCCATAAAAAACAACACTAATTTTTGTATTGAATTTCAGAATACTTTTAAATTAGATACGGAATTTTTGTAGTGATAGTGATCATGATAGTACTAGATTCACATTCAGTATTACATATACGTCTTGATGAGAAAATGTTAAAATTGAATAAAATGTACAAAAATAAATCTACAAATACGCTGTTAAAATTTAAACAGGTCCATGTTTATAAAATGAAAGACAAAGGTACATACATAACTTCTGAACATGAAACTCTAATGATGCATTTACATAATCTTATTACAGTAATAATTTCGTATTAATATAATCTCTCTCATAACTTAATGAACAGAGCAAAAAATGACAAGCACCACTGATCTGCCATTTAAATATGAAAATTTTGTAGGTTCTAAAGCAACAAGAAATTTGTGTATGAAAAAGAAAAATGCAGAATTACTCCAGATAGAATAAACTTAACATGAACCACTGGAGCAACTTAACTCTTGACCTCAGGGTTCAGTTTACAATGCCTTATTGATTTCAAGAATAGAGCAGTGCAAGTAAAAGTCATACCCTGAACATTTGTTATAGATTTGCATGGAGAAACACTAATCATATTTTTGACTCTATAGGGTGAATTCTTCAGCCCCCTGGTAAATTGACAGTGTATTCTCCATATTATGGCCTCAATTTGACTGACTCTGGGAGACGAAGTTGACTAGAGTTCTCTGTCATGTCTTAATATTTCTGTTCATTGTATAGCAAACAACCTCTTGTTAATTCCTCCTACTAGCCATCCTATGACTATAAGCAGTACAGAATGATGAAACCAAGCACAAGAGACAAGATAGGCACGTCACAAAGATTTCGCAAAGACACATGTGGACTAGATAGGCATGCCACAAAGATTTCACAGAAACACCTTTGGACTTCCGTCAGTTTGACTGCTGTATACCCAGGGTAAATCCCTTAACTACCGTCTGGAAACAAGCACCTTCTTACTGAAACCTTATGTACTGATGTTATGTTATACTTATTCCTTTCTTCTCACAAAATTCTTTAAATCTCTTGTTCTCAAGTTCTGTCATAATTTTGTTGAGGGCATATATCTTCAAGGGAAAAAAAAATAGAATTGGTTTAAGTTATTCAGTGAAATACATACTAAAATGAATACATGCCTATAACAGAAGATTTTTTTTCTGCAAGAAGTTCAAGTAATGAAAACTGACCTATAACAAATCAAGGATACAAGTTTTTTTTATTGTTCTCTACTGGTGTGTCATACCCATATTCTATATATTCAATGCAATTTGTAAAGGCGTGTACAGCTGAATTTCAGTATCTCTGTTAACACTGATATGTGAAAATGAGTTGAAAGTCCACCTTCTCTTTACTTATTTTAACCTCAATATATATCTCAAACTCTCAGATATCTCAGTCTTTTCTTAGTCCCATCAAGTTTGAGATAAAGAGGTTTGATTCTTATATACATGTATATAAATTACTTCTGATGATGTGCAGACTTCCACTTAACAATTTATCTCACTATGTCATATCCAATCCAATTCTAGGGATTTTATCGGTATACCGGTGTCATATAATATATTGAACCTCATGATATTTTGAACCCGGGTTCAAAATATCGCTGCGAAATATTGCACCCCTCATAAAATATTGAACCCAGGGTTCAAAATATTATGGCCATAATATTTTGAACCCGGGTTTAATATATTATAGCCTAATGACCATAATATTTTGAACCCGGGGGTTCAATATATAATAGCCTTATGGCCATAATATTTTGAACCCCATTACAGACATTCTCTGTTTAAAGCTTAGGGGTTTGAAAGATTATGGCATTGAACTGTTGTACCTCCTAATTTTTAATTTTTTTGGTAGGTTGGATTTATGGCTGTAAAATGTTGTATCCCTGTTAGACATATATGTGTAGAAGGGTGTTCAAAAATTAATGTTGCTAATTATATTGACCTAAAAATAATTTTTTTGAATGGTACCTTTTTTCATCTCCTTTTTATTACCGAATCTATTTGTGTTTAATTAAGAGAAATTAAGAATTTAATTTATTTATTCTGACATTAAAGTCCTAAGTAAACTACAACATTTAAAGTGTTTTTAACCACTTCTTTTGTCTTTTGTGGAGAGTTATTATTTACATGGACTTTGTCAAAAAATGGATCCTAAACTAATTACCAACAATTTGTGGGGTTTTCGTATACAAGAGGCCCAAGGGCCTTAACGGTCACCTGAGTATAATTCAACACTGTAAAGGATCCATAGAAGTATAAAATGAAATTAACTGATAGCCGAAGCAATGTTGCCCAAGAATTTCAAAAATCTGGTAAAAATACCCTTGCTTATTGTAACTTGCTAGACTCGAGTGATCTCCTTGGGATCATACTTGGTTTTCCCAAGTCTTACAGGGATGATAATGAATGCAAAATATACAAATACAATGGACAATTGCCTGTTGTGCAAGGTATTCAACATATATATACAGATATGTTTTTGTCACTTGCCTTAAGTGCTACAATTCAGTACACATAGACATGGGTATACAACTGGCTATTTGCCACTTGTCTAATTACAATAAGTCATCTGGCTCTCTGTGATTCTTTGTTCACTTTGATAAAAAGCATAAAACAACTTTATCCAGTCTCTTGTCAACTTAGACTCTACCAGTGATAAAATATCATCAACTGTCAAACAGATCACCACAATGTAGACATATTATACAATTACAACTTTTGCTAAATATATAAATAATCTTTATGTCGGTCTTTTATATAGCTTTCCAGGCAAGAATCTGATTTTGAGCATGCTTTTCTCATTTAAACCAAACATTCATTTTTATTTTGTTTTTAATAAATATATATATAACATTCTTTCTTGTATTCTCAATCAATCAAAAAACCTATTAATTAAATTATACACAAGGATTTCTTGATTAACAATATCTAGCAAAGGGGAGTAACTCTCATTTGCTTAACTTATTACGATTTTGAACTCTGCCTCCTAGATACCCAGGAGCATAGGAAAGGCACATTTTCAAAGCATTAATGCATTTTTGCTAACTAATCAATAGAGCCCCACCTAAGCACAAGAACCCCTGAGTCAGGGTCCATGATTGAAATTCACAATTTTGGAAGAGGCACTCTTCCTCATCATAACTATGTACTTAGTTCACCGACAGAAAGAAAATTTTCAAAGACTTAATGCATTTTCACTATATAATCAATAGAGCCCCGCCCTAACACTAGAACCCCTGACCCTGGGGCCATGAAATTCACAATTTTTTGAAGAGGCACTCTTGCTCTTCATAACTATGCACTAAGTTAGTTTATTTAATACCCAGGAGCAGAGAAGAAGATTGTCAAAGAATTAATGCAATTTTACTATATAATCAATAAAGCCCCACCCTAACACCAGAACCCCTAACCCAGGGGCCATGAAATTCACAATTTCTGAGGAGGCAGTCATGCTCATCTTAACTATGCACTAAGTTAGTTTATTTAATACCCAGGAGCAGAGAAGAAGATTTTCAAAGAATTAATGCATTTTCACTATATAATCAATAGAGCCCCGCCCTAAAACCAGAACCCCTGACCCTGAGCCATGAAATTCACAATTTGGAAGAGGCACTCTTCCTCATCATAACTATGTACTTAGTTAGTTTATTTAATACTCAGGAGCAGAGAAGAAGATTTTCAATGAATTCATGCATTTTCACTATATAATCAATAGAGCCCTGCCCTGACACCAGAACCCCTGACCCTGGGGGCCATGAATTTCACAATTTTTGGTAGAGGGCTCAATGCTTATTACAATCATGCCAACAGTTTGAATGCTTGATGTCCAGGAGTAAAGAAGATTTTTAAAGATTGCATTAATTTTGGTGGTTTTAGCCCCATCCCTCAGGCCCCAGGAGGACAGGGGCCATGAAATTCACAATTTTTGTTCCCCTTCACCGATAGATGCTATGTGCCAAATTTGGTTGAAATTGGTTAAGCAGTTTCAGAGAAGAAGCTAAAAATGTTAAAATGTTAACGCATGATGCACGACGACAGATGAAAACGGATAGCAATAGGTCACCGGAGTGACTCAGGTGACCTAAAAAGGGTAGGGGACTCAATATTTTATGGTCATAACTCTTGAACCCCCCTAACTCTTAAATTAAAAGGGTAGGGGGACTCAATATTTTATGATCATCATATCTTGAACCCCCCTACCTCTTAAATTAAAAGGGTAGAGGACTCAATATTTTATGGTCATATCTTGAACCCCCCTAATTCTTAAATTAAAACGGTAGAAGACTCAATAGTTTATGGTCATAATATATCTAACCCCCCTCCCTCTTAAATTGAATGGATAGGGGGACTCAATATTTTATGGTCATAATATATTGAACCCCCCTATCTCTTAAATTAAAAGGGTAGAAGACTCAATATTTTATGGTCCTAATATCTTGACCCCCCCTCCCCTCTGAAATCAAAAGGGTAGGGGACTCAATACTTTATGGTCATAATATCTTGAACCCCTCTCCCTCTTAAATTAAAAGGGTAGGGGACTCAACATTTTATTGTCATAATATATTGAACCCCCCTCCCTCTTCAATTAAAATGGTAGGGGACTCAATATTTTATGGACATAATATCTTGAACCCCCTCCTTCTTAAATTAAAAGGGTAGGGGACTCAACTTGAAACCCCCTCCCTCTTCAATTAAAAGGGTAGGGGACTCAATATTTTATGGTCATAATATCTTGAACCCCCCTCCCTCTTAAATTAAAAGGGTAGGGGACTCAATATTTTATGGTCATAATATCTTGAACCCACCGGGTTCAATATTTTATAAGGGGGTTCATTATATCGCAGCAAAAAAGTGAACCCGGATTCAAAATATTATGCTACACCTGTATATCGTGATTTTTTATTGCGTGATACATATCTTGATATAGAGACTAAAATACCAGTATTTGGTACCAGGTACTTAATTAAAAATTCCAGAAATTATTCATTTATTTCTTCGAACTATTAAATAAAAATTACAGGAAGTCTAAAAAAAAGTTGAAAAAAGTTAAACTACGGCATCCAAACATGCTTTTATATTATATAAATAAAAATGAAAAATGTGAAGTTATGTTTTTACAGCATATTTGTTAGAAAAATTACAGAAATTCATTAGATTACTGAAGTTGTAGTAAAAATTCCGTGTAAAAATATCACGAAGTTATCGTGATATTTTCGGAAAAAAATCGTGATATATCATGATAAGAAATTTTTGGCGATACCCATTCCTAAATGTTTCCCCCATTATCTGCTTGTCTTGAAGTTCTTAACTTTAACTAAGATTATCTGTTTTACCTTGACACCATTCTCATTCTCCCAGTTATCTCTACCATGTGAATAACATTTCTTTATGTAGAATCTGTGAATGCTAGCTCTATAATTGGTTTCATTCTAAACCTCAATAAATTAACCCTATCCACTCTTTGATCTTGAGGTCTGTCTCTACCCAAACTTGAGGTTTTTTGGCCACCTTTCTATGTTTAACTTTATCCTCTGTTTAACCTTGGGTTCTTCCCCCTTTTTCCAAGTTAACCTATATCCTCAATATCCTTTGCTTGACCTTGAGGTTTCTCCAATCCTTTCTAGCCACTTACCTCTATTACCTTTTTAACTTTAAGGTCAAGTGCCTACCCTGTCTAGGTATAACTTTATCCTCTGTTTGACTGTGAGGTCTCTCTCCCCCTTTTTGGGCTTACCTCTATCCTCTGTTTGATCTTAAGGTCACTCTCCCTTTATAGGCTTATCTCTATGTTTTGATCTTTTGCCTAACCTTTTTATAGGCTTAACTCTGTCTTTTATTGACCTTGAGGTCTTTTGCCTATCCTTTCTATGCTAACCTCATTCCTGTTTTTGACCTTCAGGTCTTTTGCCTTCTTTCTAGATTTACCTCTATCCTCTGTTTGACCTTAAGATCCTTCTCTCGCTCTTTTTGCTGCTGTTTCTCCTGCTTTGCTTGGTCATCCCTGCGTTTGGCTGACCTCTTTTGGGCTTCCTTCTCCAGAACTTGCAGTTTAACTTTGACTGCTCTTTGTGCCTAAAATATTTTTATAAAATATACTCCCTTTGAATGCCTTAGAAGTATAGCATATTATTTCGTCAAATTATGTGTTCTGACTTGTAAAATTCTATAATAGAAACATACCCTTATGTCATTCATACTTGGTATATATTCAACCTTCTTGGATGGGTCTGAAAAGAGAACAAAAAATGATGATTTTCATATTATTAAAGGTATCCAAAACATTCTGGAAAATTAAAAGAGTGGTCTCATGCACAACACATAATTTCCTATTATAAAGAAAGAAAATTTATTTCAAATTTAAACAGAGGATACCATTCTTTCACACTGCATCATGTCTGATGTTCATGACTACATGCTGACATTGTATATTCAATAAAGTGAATTGAATTGCTATTGAATTCTAATTTTGATGGCTGATATTTAATCAGCTGGTGTCCTTCAATACTGAGATAAATGGTGTTTCTAACCATATCTCTGCATGCAGATTGTGTTTAAAATTTTTGTACATAAAAATCTGTTCAGAAAGAGTACAAAGTAGTTTTATGCAGTTTGTAAGTTACAATAAATGCAAATGATAAAAAAACAAGATGTTTCAGTGACAAGATTGCCCCAACTGATGTTTTAAATATTTGAAAGTCAGAGGATAACAAAAAACTACAGGATGAAAATGATACAAAAATAAAATATACATGTATTGCCCCTTATTTATTTCTTGAATTACCAATACCACAATATACTTAAGCTGCATGAAAATGGGCACTGGTGATCAACTACAAACACATTACCAAAAATACATGTAACTCCAAAAGTCTAAATCTAAGGGCAGTAACATTGAGAAAATGGGTCAATCAACATATAACTCAAAATTGAAAAATCTGAAAGTCATCAAAATAAAGACACACGCCAAAAATCAGTTCATTATCTAAAAGCACAGTGAAAACTAGATGTATGTCCATGCCCTGCCCATGGTACATTAGTAATGCAACATGAAAATTTTTTAACAGTGTATGAACTTTGATGAAATACATGTATTATAAATAGTTTCTTGAAAAGTGAGTGTTACACTCAATAAATAGTAAAATCAAAGGTCATTGGGAAGGTCAAGGTAAAAAAAAAAAATGACACAGTTGATAAATTCTCATCAAATTATGCATCAGTGCATAAGCTTACATAAAAATATCTTGAATAGTTTCTTTAAAACTAAGCCAAATGCAAATTAAAGAAAAAAGAGGTCAAAGGGAAGGTCAAGGTCCAAAGGTTTGATGCAGTTTAACAGCATTCACCAAAATGTATCAGCGTATTAACTTTGATAAAAATATATTGATTTGTTTCTTTTAAACAGAGCTAACTTAATATTTAGAAAAGTGAGGTCAAGGTCAAAGAAAAGATCAAGGCCAAAAATACGGATAAAGTTGAATAGCTCCCACTAATTTGTATCAGCATATAAGATTTGATGAAAATATCTTGAACAGTTTCTTTGAAACTCAGCTAAACATTCGGTTAAGAAAACTGAGGTCAAGGTCAAAGAAAAGATCAAGGTCAAAAATGTTGATGAAGTTGAAAAGCTCTCACCAATAAGGCATATAAGGTTTGATAAAATTATCTTGATCAGCTTCATTGAAAATATACTAAAACATAATTTTTTTAGTTAGGTTCCTTGTTGCTGAAATGTGGAATATTATATACCCACAAGCATTTGTTTCTGTAATAAAAGTTTATCCTCAGTTATGATTAGTCCCCTACGGGTGAAACTGGAGAGGGACTAGAGGTTTCCTCCTTGTCTCTCTGTCTGTCTTTCCCTGTGTCTGTCAACCTGTTCCACTTGATTTTCTGTGCTTTTTTTCTAAACACTTGCAGATACTGCTTGCTTTTTGGAATGTGAGTCTACCTTGATGACTTACAAATCATGTTTCAATTTTATTCTGCTTTAATGATTTTTGATAGAACTATGGTCTATGGGGCATAATAGGGCATATAAAGAAAATTATACATTCACTTTTGTACATCTTTTTAACTAATAAACATCTAGCAGTCAAACACCGTTCACGGTAGCTCAGTCGGTAGAGCGCTCGCTCCGTGATCGGGAGGTCGTGAGTTCGAATCTCGGCCGCGACAGACCTAAGTCGATAAAAAATAGGTAGCAACTGTTCCTTCGCCAAGCGCTCGGCACTTTGGAGTGAAAGTTGCTGGTCTTTCGGATGAGACCTTAAAAACCGAGGCCCCGTGTCACGGCAGGCGTTGGCACGATAAAGATCCCTCACTGCTCAATGGCCCTGAGTGCCGAGTAAAGGTCAAAATTTGAAGCCCTTCACCGGTATATGGTGACGTCTCTATATGGGTGAAAAATTCTCGAATGGGACGTAAAACAATATACAATCAATCAATCAATCTAGCAGTCAAACAGGAATAGCTTGCCCTATGTAGTGTAGATTCAAGATTTTCAATGTAACCCCCCCCCTTTTCCAAGAAGGAATGGGGCCACAAAAGGGGTTTAAATGTTGTCAAAGTAATAACAAAAGGCCCATGAGCCACAATGCTCACCAGTGTAACATTGGCCCTAGCTGCTGTGCTTCAGAAGAATACTTTTATATTATTTTTGTCCCTCTTTATGCCAATGAAAAATTTTGACACTCTATTGAATATGGCTACAAAAATAAACCTCCAAGGGACCATAACATACAAAAAAATGTAACAAAATCTGTGCAAGCTTTGTTTGCTTTTGTTTAAAATCTACATTTTTTAGTCTCTTCTGAGAAAAAAAGAAGGGGAAATGACCTCACAACATAAGAGCCATTTAAAAATAAACAACATTAAGCTATGCAGGCATGTAATAAATGCAGAATGTCACTGCATGTAACCAATTTTTCTATGAAACTTTTTTCACACAGTTTGGTTATTCAGATCTTTGGTGAGGTCCTTTTGTCTCAAAATACCTTCACTTCCTTTTAAGCATTAGGAATAATTTATATATAGTTTTTTGTTCATGTTGAAAAAGTTTATGATTTCCCCTTCCTCCTGAAATCACGGAATAAAAAAAAAAGCACTGTCCTTTCCTATCACTGCTTTTGAGACTTACAAAGTATTTCTTTAAACAAAAACTGAATTTTGGAGTTTTTTAAACATACAACCACCTAAGTAGATGGAAAGAATTTCACACTACCGTGACAGGAAGCTACATTGATAATTTCCGTGTCTTGTCGACTGCTCACCAATCCACACATTTTAATTCCTCTCCGACTAACAGAACGCCATGTTCAGAAATGGTCTCCAATTAATTCACTATATTATGAATCTTTTTCAAAGTTCAAATTCTCAGAAATTCCACTTCTGAATATTCATTTAGTGTAATATACCAAATAGGACTTTCAATTCCCCCGTTTTCATTGTTTATATAATTAGATCATCCAGCCATCATCTACCTTTCACAAGAATTCAGCAATTTTGTCAATACACGGATTGTTTGTATGAGGTTTAAAGGACAAATTAAAATATTTTCTATGTTGAGTTCCTTGCACGTTAGACTTTTAAACTTATTACTTAAAACCTGAATAAGATTATTAAGCTAGGGAGAGATTCCTGGCACTAGCTGAGAAGAGAGTGATTTTTTTTACAGTAGAGATTTATAAATAATCCTAAATGACTTGCAATAAATAGTTTTCAAAATTTTTACTGCTGACAAGTGCATTCAATTTTTTGATATTCCTTGATTAATGACACTTTTAAATTAAATACTGAATTTCAGGTGGTGATACAAATCCCAAATTCACATTCTCTCAGTATTACATGGAATAGGAGATCAGAAAAATTTTGGTCAACTACATATACTAATTAACATATGAAATGAAGTTGCATAACATCTTATCATTTATAATTATAGTGATGGGAATTGGTAAGAATTTCATTATCAGTGATGGGTTTCCTGTAACTAATTATTAGTTATAAATTGAAACATAACATTTTCTAAGCAGAAAGATTTTTTTTTCTTGACATAAAATGTGCTTGTACTCACTTATCTCTTGGAAGTGTATAATTGCGACTATAATAAACTAAAAGTAACCTAGAATACTACTTAAATATACACTGTACATGTATAAAGACTTTTATATATTGTGGGAATTATGCATGTGGAGCACCTGGTAAAAAAGCATGATGTGCCATTACCGGTTGCCTTAGGGTAATAGATAGGTCATGACTGGAATCTTGCAAATATGGCTTGTTTATAATAGAACAAATTAATTGAAATAAAAATTTATATTTCAGCATTTTGGATATTATAACAATCGACTAATTTTCCTACTTATAATGCAGTAATGGTTGTTCAGTTTGTTTTCAAAAATTTAATTTAGATATGAACAAGAAGTCTCTGATGAGATTGTAGCTCTGCTGGCTTGTACTTATGACAAAGGAAGAGTAAAGTAGCACTTTGACTTGAAACTATGGCAACAATAAGTAGAATAAAATGATCCTTGGTTTAGTCTCTTTTTGTGGCAAATTTTATTGCAATTGGATTAAAACTGTAGGAGGAGTAGCCTTTCGAAAGAATTTCATAGAAATTTCTATTTTTAGTAACCATGGTAAGACAATTTGTCAAAATTATGTATCTTATACATGGTCCACTTGTATACCAAGTTTTATTTAAAATCAGACCAAAACTATAGGATGAGTAGCATTCTGAAAGAATTTCATAGAAATTTCTATTTTTAGTAAACATGGCAATAATGTTTATTGTGATCAAAAACCGATAAACGAATCAAAAGTGTAGGAGAAGTAGCAATTTGAATGAATTTCACAGAAATTTCTATTTTTAGTAACCATAGCAACATCATTCATCGAAATAAAAAACCAATATACAGTATAATGTACCTTAGTGTATTCTACATGTGTAGAAAGTTTTATTGAGATCAGTTCAAGACTGTAGGAGGAGTAGCATTTTGAAAGAATTGAATCAATAATGGCAAACATTTAAGATCTAAGAATATTTGGATTAAATTTGTCAAGTTTGTTGTTCCAAAGGGTTTCATGCCAAGTTACATGGCACTCCAGTTGTGTCAAAGGTATTTTCTGATTAGTTTTGTAGAATTTACATATCATGGAATTTTCAAATTGTTCAAGAATCCCTAAAACAAATACCAGATGAAATATAATGTTTATAACTGTACAATGTACTAGGAGTCTTTTGTTCCCCATACAGAAGAAACCCAGCTTTCTTATCTCAGATGTACTTTACCCATAGGCCACAACACTGATCTGAATCACTTCTCTTCTAGCCTCAAGATGTTTTACACTACATGAGAATTTCCTGCATATGATGTAGTTGCAGAAAATAGTAAAAGTGAATTCATCAGATGTGAATGAAAAAAAAAATGATATGACCAGCTATTGGGTACATTGGTACATGGGTGAATTTAATCAGCCATAATGTCTGCTTAGTGTTAAACTTACTGGCCATTTTTCAATTGGCTGTTACAGTTTATTTTGAATTTTTATTGGCAACTGGCCATTGGCTAATAGCAATCTTAACCCAGCATCCTAGTCCTATTAGGCCATGATTTGAACAAAGCTGAAACTACATGGGAACATATTAATTGTGGTCTTGTTTTTCTATACGAAAGTATATTTGAACAATTGAAACAGAAATTGCTTTTATGACATCAGTGTGTTAAATTAAATCATATACAGTTTTGGTAACAATTAATCTTAAGTCATAACCTACTTACAATTTTATCATTCAAAATCTTTATTATTATAAAATAGTAGATATTGATTACAGAATATTATAATTTATTGCTGTTTAAAAATTTAGAATTGAAAATACATTTCTTATATTGGCTGCAGAAAAATAATACCTATTCTAAATACCGTTACTTCCTACCATTAGTGTGTTCAACATGCCAGAAACAGTGCTTTCGATAAATAACAGCCTTTATTCTTACCCCACTTCCTTTTTTTTTTTTTTTTTTTTTTTTTTACAATTTTTAAAAGAACACTTAACATTTATCTTGGCAAAGTCACTGTAGGGCATTGCTAATTTTTACACACTTTTGTTAATTAATAAGGATTTGAACTCACCAGGAAGAGGAGTGGCAGGAGGTGCACAAGGAACCTCCATTCCACAATCCCTCACTACTCCTGACTGTTTCTCTGACAGATAAATTTTTGTAATGCGGGCAATCTCAGCATGGTTTACTCGACTAGATGAATACACAGACTTGGCAGATTGGAGAGATTCGGAGACTGATGTCCTCAAAGTGGTATCAGTTTTGACCATGAAGTTGTTGGTCATTTGTGGAAGTGATATTTGTTTTGTGCTGGGTTGGATTGTCTGACGATTTGTTGAGCTGACTGTTTTAGTCAAATCTTTCTTCTCTGAGTTTTTTCGTTCTAGAGTCTTGTGAAGAACCATTGGCTTACACATTGATTCAAGAACACCAAGCCCAGCTACACCTGTGGTCATATTCTGAGCATCATTCTGAATCACACTATGTTTTACTTTTGTTGCTACAGGAGTGCTCTGCTTACAGGCTCCGCCATTTTTACCCTGGGTAGACCTGCTCCGTAAGCCTCTACTGGATTTTGCCCGCTTTTTCCTCTTCCCTATAAAATAAGATATATATATGGTGTTGTATAATATATACAGGTTTGACTGTAGTTCTAAATATTTTTATTGTCCAAATCAGATGGAACTGAGCAAAAAAAAAAAACAACAACAACAACAAAAAACAAAAAAAAAAACAAACAAACAAACATACAAACAAATTCAAGTGCTTTTTTCATAATTAAATTTTGTAGAGGGCTAAATGAATTTTCTTTTAATTAAATGACTGATTACCAATTATTTCTATTACTCCTTATTTTGATTAACAGTATATTTCAATCGATTGTATGGATGCATTTTATATCTGTAACCAGGGATTTTCCCCTGCACTGTGTAGGGCCGAATACAGGCCCCATTCCCAATTGCAAAATCCCTCCCTTTTTCCCAAAAATGAACCCCCAAAGTTAATATGATCAAAGTTCTGGTAAAAAAAAAAAACATGGCCAGGTTTGGAAATCTAAATGAAATGAACAAAATTTTAAGAAAATTGGCTAAAACTTTATTAGGCCAATAAAAAAATATGTGTGGTTCCGGTTACCCGACCGTCCCTATTTTATACCCCCGACCCTAAACTTTTTTCTGGCAATTTTCATATTTTTTCCAGAATTTTCCCTGACTTCCATCATCGGCTCCATTATTAGTTTTAGTTTCATGCAGCGATGGCGTCCTCCTTGCAAAACATCATTTCAACACATAGTGCAAGTTGTTGATAGTGTTAAATCCAAATCAAGCTAGCATGCAGGTGTCCCCTACCAATGTTGACTAGTATATTATCACGCCACATCTAAATGTCACTTGCAAAGCAGTGATAGGTATTATTTAGAAAAATTAAGAAAATCATTTTGTTAAAAAAAAAAAAAAAAAAAAAAAATACTACCTACCTACCCTAATTTTTTTGGAGATGTAACCGGAACCACACATATTTTTTTGTTTGGCCTTATAATTGATCTATTCTCTGACTTACAGTTCTGAATAATTAAGTAAAAGATTAATTTTCTTCATCATAAGTGTTTATTTCTTGACAAACGTCATGTAATAAAACTTCCCAATAAGTCATAAAATGTTGTTATATTCCCAATTCCAAGGGCCTGGGCCCCATTCCCAAAATGGAGTGGAAAATCCCTGGTAATTGTGGACTACAAAAAATTTATTTATGTAATAATTAGGATATTCATTATGTATGTATCATCTGACACACCCTTAAACTTCATTACTAACATTCCGTTATGTACAGTACAATAGTGATGTGTCACAAGTATACGAACATATTCCTACAATCGATGAAAAGGGAAGAAGATTTCAGCAATATTTTATTTCTTCTTTATTTACAAATTTTGGTCACAAATAAATATTTTTCATGTATATTAAACTAGTGAACTCACTGCCTTGATTCTGTGCAAAATGTTAATAACACCTACCAGATTGCAAATAATAATTTTCAGAAAAAAGAACATATCTGAAGAGATGATATATACATTAACATTAACTTCCCAAATCAAACAAAACAAAAAGATTTAAATTTCAGAAACAGCATGCAGTTACAGTGAAAGAATAAACACATTGTTACAGCAATCTCTTGAAAATACGACCTTGTTTCCTCTTTTTAGTAACTTTTTGCAGCAATTTTGGAATTTTTTTCAATTCTGAAAATTATTAAAAATCACTTACCATTTTGATGGTTAATAATCTATTTAATATTTTAGCCATATCTATTAAAGCATACTAGTATACTAATGGTGTACCAGTACAAAAACAAATCAATTAAGTCTAAACCTTGAAAGATTACACAGAACTGGAGAAAAATTGTCCATTTCAATCCATTTGATTGATGGTTTTGAATGTAAATACATCATTCTGTATATGATTCACTATAGACCAATATAAGTAGATGCATGTTAAATTGGGGGGGGGGGGGGGGGGGGAAGTACGTTCCTCTCAAGTATTGTGGGATACCATAAAGAACAAAATACTATGATGTCTAGAATTCTTAAATCAAAATGAAATAATTTTTTTTAAAAAGTTCAATAATTGATACCAAAATCAAGACAGAAATGTTCCAAGTATGAATGTTTATCCAAATCAGCATAAAATGTTAAAAGAGGTTCTGTAAATGATTAACATGCATCAATCTGAGTAAAACTGGTTCTTTAAACTACTCCCAAATTTGATTTACACCTGCTTTAACTCAGAGGGCATAGTGCACCTTTTCCTATACAAAAGGATGAAATATCAATTTGATGAGTAAATCAAATGTCTTTAATCGGATAGCATGCGTAGCAGGGCACGTTCGTTCTACTAAAAGTACACATGATGGAATATACCAAAATCTTACACTTGAGTTACCATTAATCTGCATGACCAGTAACCAGTAATGAACATTCGAAATTCACTATATACAACTCGCAAAATGCAAGTTAGAACTCCCAAATTGCAAGTTTAAAATTTGGTTACTTACAAAAACTTGCGAGTTGATTTATCTAAATCAATAAAGGCTTTTATATGAAAATTGCGAGAAGTCTTGTGAAATTGCGGGTTCACTTTTTTGGTACTCGCAATTATTTACGAGCTGTAATTTTAGGGAGTTTCTACCCCTGATATCTTGACAGAAAACAAAAGACCTGCACAAAAGCACATATTTTACATATATGTTTGTTTCACAGTAACAATAATTGGCAAACTGGTAGAAGCTAAACTGGATTATACATGTAATACCAGTAATATAGTCTAGATATTAATATCAGGTACCAATACACGTCCTATTCTGAAAGTAATTATTCCATACCTATGAGGTGCAATATTCTTATTTTTTTTTTTAAACCTAAGAATATACTTAATGCGTCTCAAAGGTGTTTTGTACCAGTGTTTTCCCTAAGAACGGCTACCGGCCAAATTGACCACTTCAATTTATATAAATGCCACTTAGAAATCAAAATTTTCAACATAACTGTAATAAGGTCCACAGAGATTTTATTCATTAACCTGAACACCTATCCTTTACAATTGATCTCCAACCTTTACTCTGAAATAAAGGGAAGACACTGTTGTAAACTTACCCTTTCTGCTGGAAGACTTTGAGATGACTTTTTGATTGTGTTCGGTAAGTTGTACATCCTCTTCTTTGTTGTCAGTTTGTGGAGTAGTGAGTCGACTGTTGATGGGCTGTGTAGCTCCTAAATCTATCCTGTCACTTACATTGCTAGATGTGGGTCGTGCATTAGATTCTGCTGTTAATAATCTGAAATGCGAGTCTAAGTTATTTATTAAATTGTTATCTGCTTCGTCTTTGTTGACTCGACTTTGGAGTCTTTCTACATCAAGTTTTTTCTCGTTAAATAACAAGCTGCTGCTGTTGTGAGTAAATTTGATGACAGCAGTTTGGGGCGTATTATCAATGTACATGGACATGCGATTGCTTATTATTCCTCCGAATTTCCTCGAATCTGTTTGGTATTGACTTGCGTCGAAAGTAACTGCAAAGCCCTCTCCCGTGTATGCACCGGTGGTCATCCTGCATTTTCTCAATTACTTTGCTTTACATAATACTGAATCTTGCAAAAACCCAGCGTCCAAGTACGATTTTCTGATTATTGAGCTACATTGAAAATTGTTTGCGCGCCCATAGCAACCGTTCGGAACACTTCGGAATTCAATTTCGATCTCGATTAAAAATACTTCTATATTTAAACTCGGGTTCAAGATTCATTTAATCTTATCTTATAAACACGTGTTGGTCACTTGGTGTTTCAAAACATATTTTTTAAGAAAAATGAGATAAATCAACAATTATGAGACCTCTTACAGAAGAAGAAACGAAAACTTTCTTTGATAAACTTTCCAAATAGTAAGTTTGAGGTACATGTAGTTTCATTCAATTGCTAAATGTAGTCAGCTGCTGTGGGTAAACAGGTAGTTAGAATAATCTAACTGTGTCTCGGGACAAGCCCTCACCAAGAAACAAACAAACCTAAAAGTAAAAAGTCTAATATTTTTCAGGAACTCCTAATATGAGATCATACAATATTTTATGCAACACAGAAAGGAATAACCCTTTGTCTAAAGTATGATCTTTTTATTTATTAAATTTGGCCGAGGCTATCCGCACGACGGTCGTGCTAATTACTGTTGTTATCCGCACGACGGTCGTGCCGATTACGGAGGCAATTCGCACGACAAACTTTGAAACAATTTTATAATTTTTTTGTTTATAACTTTATACTATTAATATTTGCATATACTTTATTTATATAAATAAATTTTTACTCGGATTTTTGCTATTGTTTGTATAGAAACTCAAAGCGAATTTAACATATTAGACGGACACAAAAAGTGAACTTATCCCTAACTCTTCAGAAATTCCTAGTTCATTCAAGTGCTAGAGTGTTTGCCGCGGCATAATTAAATTTACGATTTTTCAAAAAGAAAACAACGGCATTTTTTCGAAATATGACACTCAAATTTCAGTTTTTATATATTAGAAAAAAAGCTTCTGGACAGTCCAACACTGATGGTTAATGTGCCCCATTTTGTGCAAGTGGTGCCATTTAAAAAAATACAGGGTTTCTGGAATGTGTATGGGGTGGAATTGGTTGATTTTAGATAGAAAAAAATGTCTGGAATTTTTTTTTTAAATTTTTGCTTTGCTTTTAGGAAGGGTATAAAAAAAGACTTTTTTATCTGCTTCTCAAATTCTCAAATTTTAAGGGAATTTGAAATACGTGCAGTGTAGGGGTTATTTGAAGTGTCACAGCATGGCTTGTACACTACGAATTTTCCTGATTTTCCAGGTGAGTTGAGGCAGTGAAATTCTTTAAAATTTTTTTGTTATAAAGGAGTACATTATAGAAAAAAAATTGGTAGTCTGCGTCCTATGATATACATGTGCGGATCTAGAGGACACCCCCCTCCCCGGAATTTGCAGTTATAAAATGTGTCACAGGATTATTACAGGGATTAGATTTCAGATAGTATATTTCAGATAGTTAGTTGTATATAGTTTTATGAAGTAGATATCTAAAATTGATAGTTTTAGGACGTATATGTGATAGTTGATAGTTTTACGACTTACATGATCGCTAGTTGATCATGTTACCTAGATTTTAGGATACTTTATTAATCATGGATTGCTTTTCAGCTTAGCCATTCATGATTCCAGTTTTATGACAATAATACATTGATATGAATTGATTGAATGATTTTGTATTTCAGCTTGTGCTAATACAAAATGCTTCCTGTTATAGAGCAGAAGATGTTGCAAAACATTAATTATCAATTATATGTGTGTTGATATTTTTAATATTTAATATTTTTATTTCAGTTAATATATATTTTTTACAATGTAATTTGATGAAATGTGAGGACACATTTTTCTCAAAGAGGAGGAGAATGTCACAGGGTGAATTATAATTAATTAATTAATATTACTAATTATCATTCATATCATATTCATACATTTGTCTAAGGCATTATATTATTATAGTAACAAGTGAATTCCATTCTCACTACGGAATTTACTATGTTCATTCATTGCCTTATTCATTCATTCATTCATTTATACGGGTGAGTGGTCAGTGAGAGTACGGGTGTGTGAGTGGTCAAACTGGTTTTATTCTGTCCCCTGCGCATTCGCGCCAATACTAATTCTCAAGCACTCCAACCTAAGACTTTGGGGAGAGAAGACGCTCTCTCTCCCCAACACAACTTTATCTCACGATAATTGTGAACTTCAGTCTAGGAATTACGGTCACCCTTCCTTCTATGTTAATAAATTCCATAACCGTAGAATATATATTATATATAAACATCGAACCCAGCAGCTGTGTTGTGTTGTATTTTACCACATATTTAAGGCTGCGACAAATGTATATACTAAACCAACTAAAAGTGACCATGGACCCCCTAGTTGGTCTGAAAAGACATAGGTATGAAGCTTTAGATGTCAATGACTACCCCCCCCCCCCCCCCCCCCCCCCCGAAATTGGTTTTTCACGTTTGGGAAAGGAGTTTACGTTTATTTTCACTTGTCAAGAAATTTCTGGGTTTGAATTTTTTTTGACTGGGGTGGACCCCCCTTGGAAAAAATTCCTGGATCCGCGCCTGATACATATACATGTACACGTGAATTATTATATCGGAATCAAGATCAAGGTCTCAGTATTGCAATAAAGTAGACTAGATGTGAATCTATCCCATGCTTTTTTTTAAAATTTATATTTACTACTCTGAAATTAAAATCAGTATCTTTTCTTTTATGGACATGGATTATATCGTATTATATTAATTTTAAAGAATTTTTGAATGAATTTAAATGTTCCTGTATATTTGAAAAACTCCAAACAAGTTTGATCAACGTACTTAAATAAGAAAACGTTTAGATGAAACTATATATGTTCACTATCAAAGTATATAATAATGCATAAATCTTTAAAAAAAAATCCTCTATGAATATATTAGAAATAAATTGATTTACTGTTTAACATAAATTTTATTTTAAAATAAAATAAATAGGGGAAATACGACAGAATATTTTAATCATTTTATAATAGCTATGTGAAGTAATGTTAACGTTATTTTTTCCACGGGGTCACAATTCCATGGAATCGCAAACTCTGTTCAATATTCGCAGATATAAAATTATCTGAATTTTTGATTGCCTTTGCACTGTTAAAGATTTTTAAATTTGTACGCTGTGATAAATTTTCACATATAGCGTTATTAATTAATCCCCTTGATAAAAAAAATACGTCTACAGTATACTGGAAGGTTGCATGGAAGGAGAGAGGGTTAAGACCATCCAGAAAAATGGAAAATTATGGAAAGAGAATATAAACACCATACAAACGAAAGAAAATTATTGAAAATAGATAGCTATATTTTTTTTTTTATATTTCCCATCAACGTCTGTTCAAAGTACGTTACATGTACTCAAGAGATAAAATAAAGGACGAATAAAAAATTAAGTCTTATTATACTGTGTCACGACAATTCACGAAGAAAATTCACCGTAAGCAAATTTTACTTAACCGAATGTTATATTAGTTCTACATGTGTGTATTAGGTGCATCTCTTTTACTTTGTATTAAATTTTTGGTGAAAAGTGTACATAATGTACTATAGAGTTATCTCTCTTGTGTCGTGCGGATAAGAACTGTAATTAGCACGACCGTCGTGCGAATAACGAAAATAATCGGCACGACCGTCGTGCCGATAGACACTTCCATTAAATTTTGACCATATACACTGAGTGGCCAAAAGTATTGCTGCAATAAACATACGTTGTAATATGGAATGTATGAAAACAAAACAATTTCCTATAAAATAAAAGTTATTTACTTACAATATTCCTTTAGTATTTTGTTGCATAGCCTTTTTGGATGATGATCTGTCATAGTCTGGAAGGAAGGCTGTGAATGTCCATTCCAGATTCTTGAGACTGCAGCCACCAAGTCATTCTTGTTTTCAATGTTGTCAATCTCACGAGATGATTTGATTTTGATACAAAGCCAGACATTTTTGATTATATTAAGGTCTGGGGACTGAGCAGGCCAGATATATTTTTGAATACCGTTTTCTTGTTTTCAAGCATTGGTCTGTCTAGATGCGTGTGAGGTAGCATTATCATCTTGGAAAATAAACTGGCGATTTCCAAACACTTTAGCAATAACTGGCCATAAGTGATCTGATCTAGCAATTCTATATACTTTACAGAATTTAGATTTCCATCAACTGGTATAATAACACCAATAATGTCGTAGGTAATACAACCCCAAAACATACAACTTACTTCGATGTGTTTCATCTGAGAAAATAACTTTTTGCCATTGTTCAGAATTCCAATGTCTTTTCCCTCTGCACCACAGTATTCTCTGTTGTTGGTTAGTTTTACATATTGTCAGAGTTTTTTGGATTTTATCCCACCTGTATCCTTCCTGATGCAATCTATGTCGAACAGTTCTACTGGACACATTTGTTAGCTCATTTCTATTGAAAGTTGATGTTATATCTCCAAGAGATTGTCGGTGATTTCCTTTAAGGATTCGATAAAGTTTCCGATCCCCCCTCTCATCTGTCACTCTTGGCCTACCACTTCTGGGGTTGTTTTCTACACATCCCTTCTGATGGAATTTCACCAAAACTCGATCCACTGTATAGTACTACGATGAATTCCCAATGCTTCACCTATTTTATTGTTGTTAAATCCCCTTGAGTTCAAAAGTATGATCCCCTCCTTAAATTCAGTTAAATACAGTTCTCTTTTTTTTGTTCGACATTATTTACATTCACAACCCACCGGAAATTGTCTGCTTTAGTTGAAACAAAAATGGTCCTGAAAATGAATCATACCCTATTAATTCACACCCTGAATTTTATGTTCCAAATCTTTTTTGCTATGCATCAACATTGAAAACAAAATTTGAAGCGAGTTAAACATGATGACGTCAGCCATGTTTTTTGTAATACTTTTGGCCACTCAGTGTATATATATATATATATATCAACTTCACTATAAGTTCAAGCTTGCTGGATATGCGACAGAATTGCAAAAGTAACATGTAACAGAGGCAGGATTTGCCTCTGCTTTAGACTGACCCTGAGACCACTGGCATACCAGTCCAGTGCCCTACCAATATTGAGCTAAAGGTTTTACCCACTAGCCAAAGCTAGTAGGAGCTGTGCATTGCACACTACCACACAGGCACCAGAAGTGTGGATCAAACCCACCCCACCCCCAATTAAATAAAAAAAATAATAAGAGCGTATAATTTCTCAAAAATATAATATTTCCCCATCAGTCACATCTTATATCTCATTCTATGCAAATGTATTATACTTCAAGTTTGCAAATAACACTTAAAACCTTAGGGACTATGTGGGCCCCAAACTTCACAAGTTTTACTAGCTTACATTGATATTTTGGGGCCCACGATTTTGTCTTCAACATACTTATTTCAGGAGGAAAATAAATGAATATATAGCTGCTAATTGTGAATAATATACAGTCCTTAATAGGATATGGACAAAAACCCGCTACCGTTGATACATAAAAGGAAATTAAATAAATGTTGAGGAAATTTTCATTCTTTTAAGGAACAGTATCATCCACATGATTCTGGGTCTTGAAAATGTTTTATAGGAAGAAATCAGTTAAAAAGAAAGTGCATTTAATAGTGGAACTAAACCATGGTCAGGTTCTGGAAAAGGTTCAACAAAATTCTTACTCGCCATGTGGGTGATAACATGTTTAAGAGTTGGTCGCCCACAAGCAAATTACTCACATTTGTGAGTGGGCGAGTGGTTATTTGCAACCCTGTACTTTTTTTTACGTTTAGAGATTTGCCGTGAAATACACAAGATAAGAAACAAAATTTATATATATAATTTATAAATTCCGAAAGTTAGACGCATGACTGATTATTGAATTCATGTACTACGTAATAAACTTGTCATTGTTTTGCCATGCCATGAAATCTTAGTCGTTGAATCTCAGCTTGTTGTCTTGACACCCCAGATATCTCGACATTCTGCGAGAGTTCCGTCCATGTTGAGAAACAGAAATTTATCTGTATAATAATCTGTTTCATATGCATGTCGATCACATGTATTGTTGAATTCATAATTTACGAAAGAGGAAATTGGGCACAGCTAGCCTTTAATATGTTTAGTAAATTGTGAAACAGACTATCTTATAGATTTTTTTTTTCATTTTCAGCATTGGTGAAAATATAAAACTACTTATAGACAGACCAGATGGATCTTACTGCTTTAGACTTCACAGAGATAGAATATTTTATGTCAGGTAAGTACACATGCATTAGCTGTAATATAGATATAAAATCATAGGACTGATATTAATGACAACATACCACCCTGACTTTCAGTATACCAGTATACATGCTTATAGTAACACATTATGACTTCTCAGAGCAGTCAAGGCTACTTCATGTTATCTTTTAGACTTTTATTACTTAATTTTATCTAGTTCATATGATTATATGTACTGTATTGTATAAACGATGACTCAATAGAAAATAATGAAAGCATGCTCACTTTAAACACATGTACTTAAACCCAAACAAATGCTAAATAGTACGTAATAAAAACTTCAGTAAAGAAAAGTCCTTGTGTTTGTGATTTCACAAACCTTTATAAACACCTATACCATAAGCACAAGATTTATTCCTGTCAGATACAAGTTTTACTATACAAAACAAGCTGACACAAGATAGATCATCTTATTAGAAGTTCCTTTCTGGAAGGCTGACAATTTACTTCTGTGCATACATTTTCCAAGTTTACAGTATATTTTAGACCATTTCAAATAGATCTTTAAGATGTTATCTTGGCGTGGATTCAAACATTACAGTTAAGTCAATCATATTTCACCTGAGATCAAATTCACAACAAATCAGATAGTGTTTTTTCTTTTGTATACAGTAAACAGGTAGCGAACATGCTTATAATGAATTGACACTTACAGCGAAGTGATTTTCACTCCCCATGACTTTATTACGTTGTAAACTTGATGGATATAACGAATTGTGCTTGTAACGAAGCAAAAGCAGTTGAAGCACCTGTCCCTGGCACTTTGTTATAAGCGTTTTTCACAGTACTTTTTTAGTGTTCTTTTTTTTGTGTATTTTCTAGTAAACAGATTTCAAAGGGTTGATACAGGGTAGATGAAAATCACGGTAATGTAAATGTGCTGTATTGTACTGTATTGAGGTCTATTTTACATGAGAATGAATACTGTATTTACCCATTTAATTATAACCTATATGCAACTGAGCTGACTACAGTCACCTTTAATTCTGTTACAGGGAGGATCTGATGAAGAAAGCTGGCAATGTCTCCAGGAAAAACCTCCTCAGTATGGGGACATGCTTTGGAAAAATGACAAAATCTGGAAAATTTCGTCTGCAAATAACAGCGTTGGATTTTATGGCTCCTTATGCAAAGGTCAGATCTGGCTCTTTGGGCCTTAATTGACAGTCAGGGGTAATACAAATATCAAAGTCCCATGTTATAAGCCTGTTACTCTGTAAAGAAATTTCAATCTAATAAATTTGCCCTTGTCTAAGTGACCTTGGATCTTTGCTCTGAAACACCATTGACTGTGTATTCAGTTTCAGCATCTTAAGTTTCACTGTTTCTAAATCATATTTTGTGATACATCTACCAGTAAATTAACAGAATCAGGGTGATTCATGCATAGAAATTATATTATATATTTTAAAAATTTGCTTGCATTAATTGAATTTAACATTTCAATCGCCCAGAAAATTTGTTCAGATCCAGCTTCTGAAGCAAGTCTGGTAGTGTCCATACCTAGAAGCATCATCCATGAAAGTTTACACACGTAGGGCTTATACTTACTTGGGATTGAGACCTTCTCCAGAAACTTTAACCTGCTTCAAGAACTTTAACCTGCACCAAATTCATTAACCTGGTCATTCTTATGTAAAATATTTGCTGAAAATACAGTATCTGAAACCTGACTAATACAATGAAACATACAAGAAGCATTGCTCATGCATCTCTGATCAATATAGGGCATAGAGACACTTAAAATTGTTCCAAAAACTTTAACCTGGGATGTCAGTGTTGCGGTCATAGCATAAACTCCTTCCAACTATGACAAGGTGAGCTAAAAAGGATAGCAATTGGTCAACTGAGTGACTAAGGTTACCTTGTAAAACTTGGATATAACTGGACAAATATGGCTATTTTTATTAGCTCACCTTAGAAAGCTCATGTGAGCTTTTCTGTTCACCGGTCTGTCTGTCTGTCCACCCGTCTGTAAACTTTTCACATATTCAGCTTCTTCTCTGGAACAACAGGGCAAATTTTAACCAAAGTTGGTAAAAAGCATCTTTAGATAAAGGAGAGTTTAAATTGTTAAAATGAAGGGCCAATCTCCCTTCCAAGGGGGAATAATCAAGAAAAAATGAAAATAGGGTGGGGTCATTAAAAATTCTTCTCTAGAACCACTGGGCCAGAAAAGCTGAAACTGATGTGGAAGCTTCCTGAGGAAGTATAGATTTTGAATTGTTCAAATCATGGCCTCCAGGGTAAGGGTAGTTCCACAATAGGGAATCAAAGTTTTACATTGAAATATGTAGGAAAATCTTTAAAAATCTTCTTAAGAACTACTGGACCAGAAAAGGTGAAACTTATATATGCAATCTTCCTGAGGTAGAGTAGATTCTAAATTGTTCAAATCATGGCCCCATAGGGAAAGGCTGGGGCCACAATAAGGAATCAAAGTTTTACATTAAAATATGTAGGAAAAAATCTTTTAAAATCTTCTCAAGAACCACTGGACCAGAAAAGGTGAAACTTATGTGCAATCTTCCTGAGGGGGATAGGGTGGGGCCACAATGGTCAATCAAAGTTTTACATAGGAATGCATAGAAAAAATCTTTAAAAATCTTCTTCTCAAGAACAGCAAAGCCATGATTGGTCATATTTATATTTTACGATACTGAATGCATCTTCAGGTTGTGTAGATCCAAATTGTTCAAATCATGACCCCTGGGCCCTGGGGGTAGGGAGGGTCACAATGGGCCATCAAATTTTTACATAGAAATACACAAGAAAAATCTTTAAAAATCTTCTTCCCTAGAACAGCAAAACCGTAGTAAGTCATATTTATATGGAAGCATCCTCAGTTTGTTCAAATCATGACCCCCCTCCCTACCCCGGACCACTTTTATATTTAAACTACAATAATGACCGATTTCCGTTTTCCTAGCCAAAGTGCTCAGGTGAGCAATGTGGCCCATGGGCCTCTTGTTTTATTTGCTCTTTTCTGCTCTCTGTTTTTTATGTTCATTAGTGCTCAATTTTTGAAGCCAAACAAGTATTAAAATGACAATGTCTTACTTTAGCATAAGATCTGGCTGAAGCCTAATGCTGAACAGCAGTTTGTATATGGCCATCATGTAATGAAGTCTGGCTTAGGTCGAATCACAGCGAATACCTCCCAGTATGAAGGAGTGGTAGTTTATAGCATGAATGACCTCCCTTTGGTATGTATCGTTATCTGTGAAATGTACTCACTAAATATGTAGAATATTTGTATTGGTAATGGCTAGTACTGCACTGTTATTTTGTGGAAAAAAGTCTGAAGAGTTCTCATGCCTTTTTTAATCTACTGAAGCATTTTTTAAAGTTTAAAAATAAATATTGCTGTATTTTTTTCCCTTGCAGCATCATTCTCACAAAATTATATACATTTGTAAACTCTCATTGCTGAATTACCTGTCAATGTTTGTCAGTATCCATTACCCATAAATCAACAGAACATGTTTAGTATTCAAGAATTGTTTTTCAGGGTTTTGGGGTGGCTGCCAAATCCACTCAAGACTGCCGCCATGCTGACCCCATGACCTTGGTGGCATTTCATCAGGCTGATATAGGAGAGTACATCCGAAATGAGGAGGCTTTATTATAGACAACAGAATTGTCAGTCACTTACAGTCAGGACTGGTGTTCATCACTATTTGGACTATTCCTCTATTATGCAATATCATAAACTTGTACTGATTGAAGAATAATGGACAAATCATTATGTGAATCATCATTTATTTCATGTCATTTGTAATACTGCCTTTAAGGCTTGTATGTTCCTCACATAACCTTGTTGAAAATAAAAGCTAGAATAACAATATGTTGCAGTTAAATTTATTAGACTAAGAGTGTTAGGAATTTAATTTCCATTATTTCTGTTGTATATGATAGAAGTGGAATTCACAGCAAATAACAAATTTTAATCTTTGAGAAAATCACCACAAGTTCAGAAATAATAATAATGATATAAGAAAATAAATTCTGAATTACATGTATTTTTATGCGCCTTCCATAAAATGGTCGGGGGCATATAGGTTGAAAGGGGTGAAAATAAAATGGGGGGAGGGGCGTAAATTTCACTGTATACAGTTGTTAAGAAGACCTAGGTGTTTATTATCAATTATAGAAATAATTGATCTCTGCAGTCTTGGCATATATATATATATGTAATAGCTAGGGCCTATGTTACTGGTACTTTTTCATACAGGTTAGACAACAAAACACATGAAACTTCATCTAATATTTATTTTCAGATGATAATGCGAAACTGACATGATATCTTTACCCAGAATGCCCTACTGTGAATTCACGTATCCCAGTACAGAAAGACTAACATAGCTGCTAGTGCTGGAGAATGCTAGCATTTTTTTTTTTTTGACCAATGGACCAAACTTTTTCCCCCATTTTCCAATTATAGCCAATATTAAAATGTCTTCAACAAACATTAACAACATATTAGGCATTGAATATGTTAATTCACTTCATAATTGTTATTAATTGAACAAACAAAAGTTGTAACACGTAGTTTCAACATGACCTTCGAGACATGACCTAAGTCAATACATCTATCATGAAATATTTTTTGGGTATCAGCAACAGCATGCTCAAGTTTGAATTCATTCAAATCAAGGATTCTGATGTAACACTGTCCAATGACCTTGACCTTATTACATTACATCAACATCAAAGACATGCGTTTGGTAATCAGATACTGCACCTCCAGTTTGAATTTTTTCCCAACCATGGGTTGCAAGCAACAACAAATTCAAGTCTGGCTTTATTCCAACCAAGGGTTCCAGAGTTAAAGCCTAGACACAGTTTCATACATCATTGCTTAGTAACCCAAACCTTTGACTTATATTCATAATTCAAAATCAAGACATACTTTTAAGAGATAAGTAACAACATATCAAAGTTTGAATCTATTCCAGACTTTCAAAGTTATGGCCCAGGTATGATTTGAGACAGACAGACAGTCAACCATGCCAAAACTAAATGTTTCTTCCAAAGGGAGCAATGAGAAATATAATTGTATGAAGGGTTTCAAAAGTGCCTTTCAATAAGTCCAGGGTCGTAGGAACTGGGGGGTACAGGGAGGGGCATGCTCCCTTAATTCCCCCAATAATTTTGCCAATGCATAGTATACTGTAGAAAACAAAGCTACATTATGTCTGTGCCTCTACAATAATAACATCTGATGACTTGTTTTTGCTTGTCAGGGAATTAATGCTTGGTAGTGCTCACTTGAACTGAAAATGTTTGGTTGTGCCAACCTCCCCCCCCCCCCCCCCCCAATGAAATTGCTTTCTACGGGCCTGAAAACCCTGCTGTGACCAGAACCCATGATCACTTGATCAGTTCCTTTCTGTATTGGACCTGATTTCTGTTTGCTGGTCCCTTGAGATCAGAGAGAAAGAAGTATCCTCAGTTAGTGCCTTTTCTGTGGTAACACAGATTTAGATTCTTGACAGTCAGTCTCTTCATTCCTTTGTTCTCCTCCTACTCTCCTGTCTGGCAGTTTGTCGATTCTCAGATGACCTCTCACTGGTACCACGCTGTTTCCGTCGCCTTGAGTGCCGGGTTTCTGACGAACTACCGGGAACTGTCCACTCCTCGTCAGACTCACCTTCCCGACTCCTCCGCTGAGCTCGACGAGATCTAGATGAGTTTTGAGAGCCTGTACTTGAGTCCTCTGACTCTCTTGGTTGATTATTTTCCAGTTTAGCTCCTTTTCTTCTTGGCTTGTCTGTATTTTGTTCCTGTTCCTCTACTTTGGCTTGTAGTCTGTACACCACACACGCAAACTCTCCATTAAATGACTTCACAGTCTGTACCACTGTATCCAGGTCCACCTTCACCTCATTTTCTTCATTCTTGAAAAAAAGTTAATCAATTAATGGAATGAATAACTAAAATTAACCCATGAACAACTTAATTATGTACCCTTTGTTTGAGAGTTATAAATTTCCATTTAGAAGAGTTTCGTCTATAAAATTTTAAGACACAAATCTTACCATTGATTCCACAAAAGGTTGAGCTAGTTTGATCTCCTTGATTGTTTCTCCTGTGTTGTTGTCATGGAATCTAAGATAACTCTCCATGTCATTGTCTGCTATGAAGTAATCCACACTTGTCCACAGAAGATCCAGCTCATCTTCATAATCCACATTGTGAATAACCTGAAGGTGATAAAAAAAATCAAATGAATAAAACATCAGAATAATGGGCTCAAAGGCTATACTGTATACAGGGAAATTTTCGCCTCTATTTTAGTTTCGCCCCTTTTGCCCTACACACAGATGGGCGAATTTAAAACAGGGCTAAATTGTTTGCAAGTGTGAAAGGGCGAAAATAACACAGGGCAAAAATAACACTGTATACAGTATATCAATTGGAAGCACATTTCCCTTCCTAATAAAGATAAATAAACCCTTATTGTAGCCACAGAAGAGTTAGGTATGATATGAGACTTGAATTTCCTTCATCAAAGGATTTGTGTTCTAAGATTGATTGAAAATGGGCAAATGGTTTTATAGAAGTAGAAGAAGAGAAAAAATATAACAGACAGATGACATGTGAAAAGCTCACTTGATACTGTGGCTCGGTTGAGTTAAAAGGACAAACCATCATTCATTTGGCAGGAAATACTATAATTTTGCTTCTCTTAGTTATCAAATGCAGTAAATACATGAACATTTTTTCTGTATCAAAATCAATTTCTATCAGATTTTAATGCAAATTAGACTTAGTAGCACAGGTTTTTCACTTTTCAACGGGTCTGATTATAAAGTTTTCTACAGTTTTACTATCTATCAAAACTTTGTAATCTAGAATTGACTTGCCATGTTTGGAAGCTCCACGTCCATGTGGATCATCGACCAAAAACTGATCCTTGTGACGTGCCGCCCTGAGGAGGTGTATGTGTCAGTGGATGTGACCTGGGCTTTGTCCTTTCTCTCTAGATTAATTGTGAAACATTTCTCTATCTCTGATTTTGTAGATTTTGTCTCCTTAATTCTGTGCATACTGTAAAAACAAAGCATACATACTGAGTCCTGATGTTCATTTGGCTTTTATGACATTCATGTATCTTATGTTTATACCTAAATGAAGAACCATGGAAAGCTATTGTAATGTAGTGACCCAATGACTAACAGTGTACACCTTTCCTTGAAATAAAGTTACTACCTTGTATATTCCAAACCTTAATTAGGGCCCCGCATGAAATGCAGGAGCCCTATAGGAATCACATCGTCCATATGTCTGTCCATCAACACTTTTGTTGTGAAAAAATAAGTTTTCAACAAAATGTATTCAATTTTGTACAGAAAACCTCTACTATAAGAGCAAGACACTTAAATGATTTTTGTGTCGTATCACTTTGCCTGTCTGTATGTATGTATGTTTGAATGTAAATCCATGACATTTTTTATGAAATGATAACTCGAGCAGTTTTTATCAAAACATTTTCAAAGTTTGTACTTGAGTTCTTTACTATAAGAGCAAGACACCTGTAGATTTTGGGGTCATATCACTTTGTCTATCTGTACACATTTGAATGTATATCCATCAAGAAACAATAAATCAATTAATTTTCATCAAAACTTTTTTCAAATTTTATACAGAAAGAGTTGGCCATAAGAGGAAGACACCTGTCAATTTTAAGGCCTATCAGTATGTTCAGTCAATTGTCTGTCAACACTTTTATTGTGACACAATAACCCAGTTTTCAACCTAATGTTGTCAAATTTTGTACTTCAATACTTTACAATAAGAGAAAGACCCAATAAATTTTGCAACTATATCACTTTGTCTGACTGTATGTATATCTATCGTGACACAAAAAGTATTTGAAATTTTATACAGAAGGAATTGATTATAAAAATAAGACTCTTATAAATTTTGTGATTGTATTAGAGTTTCATCTCTTTGTTTGTTTGTCCATCTGTCTCTTCAAATATTTATAATTCTCACTGACATAAAAGAGGGTGTTCTACCTTACAGATTTACTGTCAATATGTAAAATCCTGCCAGTTTCATCTGTACAAAACTGGGCTCTGTCTGCATCAAGGCCAAGTTCTTCAGACTTGAGAACACCATTCTTGGCCTACAATTATAAAATTACATGTACCGGTATAATGTAAATAGGGACTGTTTCAACAGATTTCACACCTGGACAAAGGGTAACTTGTAACAGAGTTCACCTCTATATGTTAGCATACTTACGAGTTGTCCAGAAACAAGAGACTTCACATGGAAGGACCCCTCCTTCCTTGGGGGTGTGTACATGAAGTGCCAGGGACATCCTCCCACCTCCAAACTGTTCTGATGACATTTAACCTGGAATAGCACAGGTGGTTCTTCTACAAATACAAAGAGGTCAAGGGTCAATTCAGATGTCACCACGGATACAGAATATTTTGCTTTTAACATCTTCTGTTCTGAATGACTGTAAATTCTTGTGCCTGAATATTACTTCCAGAACCTGTTGGTCCACTGTCCATTTCTTAAAATCTAATGCTGAGGGTCAGAGTTAAAAAAGAGGTCATATTTTATTAAGTGTCCATTGATAAAGGGTATATTGTTTTTGACTCAAAAGCAAAGGATAGTACAATTGTTAGCCTGGTTGATACCTCTTTTGTCAGGGGCAAAATTAGGTTTGTTTCTTGCATTCAAGAAAGTCTCTGACTGTAAGGCTGTTTGGATCTCTTATACAAAAAAATAGTTGGAAGGAAGATCAAATGTTTTCAGTACTTTGAAAATATTCAGATCTAGATTTTGAATGAGGATTGTTACCTTTGATTATAATGTTTAGTGGTAGACCACATGGCTGTTTCCCACAAATCTCCTCTTGGTTTTGAAGTCTTGTGTAAAGTTCTGCTTCATATAGCTTATACTACTCAAAACAATCGAGAAATGGTAGAATTTCTAAACAAGGTAACGTGTGTATGATTAAAAAAATCAAATTTAGTGGCATTATATGAACACTAGTAATGGAAAGTATTTGATGAAACTTTAGCTCTACTGATACCCTATAGAAGAAAAGATAATTTTACTTTAATAAATTATTCTATTTTAAAAAATTAAAAGCAAAATTGGTAAAGCAACAAACTTTAACAATGCATATGCTATTCTGGCCTTCATTCAGAAGAGCTAAGAATTCAATGCACCTTCTGTAGAATGTATTCCATGCTGTGAAGTTTGACCATTCCAGACCTATGCATGGTGGTCAAGAAACCACTAGATGCCATAGCATCCACTGTGTCATCTCCAAACACCTGAAATGTTCAGTTCAACAGTAAAAATAAGGGTAGTCCTAGATTTTTGAAAGTAAATAAAACAACATATTTCTCACTGGTACAAAGAAAGATTTTTACCTGAGTACTTTTTCAGTAAACTTAAACTCTTTGTGACTTCAAACATTCCAGTGAACCTGATTGGAAACACATCAAACAGGGCGAGGACTTTGACAACATTAGGGCGATCAGCTTCAACCTTCACACAAAGAATTGGAGAGGAGATAAAAACACAATATACAGGTCAGATATAAAGTTCTTAAGATTTTTTAAAATCACTAAGAGTTCATGATAATAACCTCAGTAATATTCTTTAGAAAAGGAAGTTTTGATCATTAGTAATAATTTGTACAGGAGTCACTGCAGTCAATTTCCTTAATATGCATAATAAATTTATCATCACATAATTTTGCAAAAAGCACAACTCATGAAATAAAATTACTGGGTACTCATTTTTATTTTATATTGCTGAAATATATGTCAAAATCTCAATCAACAGTCCACTTGCCAACTCGTGTTCTTGGTATACTAACAACTAAAATGTATGACAAAGGAGATGACTTCAGTCTTTCCATCATCAACTTTCCTTATTTCTGTAGTAACATTGCACAATCACCTGTATATGGTGTTTATATCTCCCAACTTATTGGATACTCAAGAGCATGCAATGAGTACGACCAATTTTTAAATTGAGGTAGACAATTGAGAGTTTAGTTGATTTTATAGGGATTTCAACATTCTTGTTTAAAGTCAGCTTTTTGTAAATTCTACAGTCATTTTAACAACCTTGTTGGTAAAAATAACTAATCAATGGGTCGTATTTTGACTGACATACTGTGAAATCTCTCATTTCTGTGGGAGTTTAATTTTCGTTGTTTTCGAGGTACTTTTCTACGTTGTTAGTATTGAGGAAAAAGTAACATACCTGTCTAATGCAACCAGTCATTTTGTGAGTGGATCTTAAAACGATAGAAGCTCCAGGCTCATTCCAGCTTAGATCACTGAAAGAAACAATGTCCTCAATAAAATGTATACTCAGACTGTGAGAAACTGTTACAAAAATATTTTCGAAAGAAAAATTATATTCATCCATAAATTATGGATCTTAATGGTCACCTGAGTGACATATGCAACCTTCATTCCTAATGCACTGCTACTTTGTCCCCCCTTCTCCCCTCCCCCCCCCCCCCCCCCATGGCTGTGGTTTATGCAAATGTGAATGAATACTATATGCATATAAAACTGTGACTTCCTGCATTAAGTTCATTCTGCACTGAACAATGAAGATGCAAGGCAATTTGCAGCTTTGTAGTTTTTGTGATGTCATTTTTAAGATATTTCCTATGCATAGTGGAACATGCGGTACACTTCTGCGGACAAAACTTTGTCCAAGGGGTCACTATTTAAAAAAATGAAATCTTCATTTTATGAAGAATTTTCCTCATAAGTATGGCTATTTCCTGCTAAGCGCCTCTTGAGAAAAAGATTTGTAAATGAACCCACCATATTTTTACTTTATTACTCATCTCCCCTTTGAAAAGGACTCAAGCCTTTCATTTGAATAGATTGAAACACTAGTACCTCTCACCAAAGGATGCTCTGTGCCAGGTTTAATCAAAATTGACTCATTTGTTCAGGGGGAAGTTGTCAAAGTGAGAAGTTTATTTACGATGTACAACAGATACAGGGTTATGATGGACAAAAACAGAAAACAGTTGGTCAGTTGGTCACCTGAGTCACTTAACTGGCCTTAATACATTAACATGCTTCATTTTAAAATTATACAACTAGTAGCCTTCAAAGCATCTAAGATGTGTACACCAGACATTAGCTGATTTTAACACATCAAAGATGAGTGCTTTTGTGTGCACCCTTAATACCTAAAATGACAGTGTGTCCGTGGCAGCAAGTACACTTCCTCCAATAGCTGTCCAGTGATCCAGTCAAAGCGCATCAACCAACATTTACCCACAATGCAGAAAAAAGATGGCCGTTCTCCTTTATGTGGCAAGGATAACTTCTCCTAAAAATTTATTACAGTAAGACACTGAAATTCTCTCATCCAATTGATATAAAGGTACATTGTCCAAATTTCAGCTGAATATATACGGGAAAATTAAATGACTACCATTAAAACAAACATACAAATAGGGAATAACTGTCTTCTCTTTCATTATTTGTGACCATTAAAGCTAATTTAAGGGTCAAAACTGAGTTTTACCAGCGACACGTAAGCGGTGCAAGTAAAAATATATGGATGCTTGCTACTTTTAAATCAGCAAATCAGTCACAAATAACAAATGAGAAGACAGTTATTCCTATTCTAATGCAATTTATGCATGTCGTTTTTTGTTTACATCTTATTATGTTGAGTTTTGGCATATAAATAAAAATATGTCACAAAGAACTGTGTTTTTCTGTTGTTCTATTAAGACATCACAATCAAAAGCTTTCACTCTCGTTAACAATAATAATACTGTATACAGGGAAATTTTTGCCCCTGTTTTATTTTCGCCCATTTCGCCCTACATGTGGGCAAATTTAAAATGGGGCAAAATCAAAAAAACACAGTATAATTTGTTAAACAGAATTGTGACAGGGAAATTTAAAATGGGGCAAAATTGTTTGCAAGTGTGAAAGGGCGAAAATAACCCTGTATACAGCACCCTGGTAATAATATTACAATAATAATACATTTGAAGTATAAAACTGAGTTAACTTATTGAACATGCATCCTTTAAAAAGAGGTGGAACCAATTAGCTTTTTAAAGTCTGTTTAAAGGTTTTCCTTTATTACTAGATTAAGACTTTTTTAAAAACATAATTTGGATTCAGGTACAATTACTCCAGTATCCATGAGGAAACAGCCAGACATAAGTATCCCTCTCCCCAAAACTCAACTACCAAAACAGTCCCATTTAAAATTTGGCATAGAACAATCTGGTTCCAGCACTACACTAGTCTGACATATACCCCTATCAAGATAAAATAAATGGCATGATATTGAAACACTTTTAACAATTTTCTTACTGGTTGAATGGAGGCTACTAATGCTGTCTCTATCTTCTGTTCCCAGGGAGTAGACAGAGAATGCAGATGTACTGGCTTATTGTCCCTCCCATACCTAAACAAACAAAATTTAAACTGCAATGGGATTCATGAGTGTACAGTAGACAATTAATAGTTCTTTTTTTACTATTACATGACTTGCAACAGTGAACAAAGCAAATGTACAAATACATAGTACTCTGGAATCATTTTAATTTGTTAGGGGGTCAATGTTAATTGGCAACCAAAATTTACTTGTTTGTGGGGACGTAATTCATACATACAGAAAATTCAGCAAACCGATTTGTTCAAGGGGTGTAAATTTGTGGGTAAGGGTTATCCATGAAATCCACAAACATTGATCCCCCCACAAACAATGATGGTGATTTGAAAGTCCCATCCATTTATTCCTTAAAGTGTTATATCCTCAATAAATTTAATCCTTGGATATCTCTAAGTTTTTTCTTTATCCCATCAAGTTTGAGATAATGAGGTTTGACTGTATGTCACTGCATACTGGTACCATGTACTGGTATATAAGTCCATCTTGTGAACTTAATTCTTTACATACTCCTATACTTACCCACCATAACAGTTTGTGTAATTCTCAAAGTATATTCTTCCTCTAGAAAAAAAAATCATACAATGATTTATGAAGTCTTAATATTCATTAAATGAAAGTGGATTTAATGTCATGTAAGACACTGAAACATTACAAATCTCTATCTTTAGTCGTCTAAGAAATATTGAAATAAAGAAGCACAGTGTTACCCTTCAGTCTTGATGCCTTTGCTGGAATATTTTGTCCATACTTCTTTGTACACATAATTTTCCTGTTAAATAAAATGAAAAGCAAAACCACTTTGATTTGTATTGTAATGACTTATCCTTCTGTTGCACTAATAGATCCTGTACAATCGCTACATTTAGCTACATAGCTTTAATTACCTAGGTAGCTTTATTTCACTACTCGAAATAGCTTGTATTAGCTATTTCAATGCAATTTCACAATTAAGTTTGGTTTTTACTTAAAATAGACAAAAATTCACAAATATGTGACTATTGATAATTGAACTGTGGATTTTTTTTAAAAAAAGCAACATAGAGCAAAGCTAGTTTAAACATCGCTGATTTTGTACACTTTTAAGCAGAAGATATATATATCCATTGTTTGAGTAACTGTATACCACTCTGTGTGTAGTCAGGCATGGATAAGTATGATCACTTCACACTGTGTAATAGGAGAAAAATGTGATGGACCAGACTGGGATTGGAACCTGGGTCCCCTGAATTTCCAGTCAGGTGCTCTGCCAACTAAGTTATCTGAGCACTGGGGATCGAACCCGTCTGACCGCCATGATTACTTCACATTGTGCTGAATTATAACCAATCAATTAACATGTTAACAAGAATTGGTCATATCTTATATTTCATTTCAATTTTCAATTTCCTTTTATTGATTCATCAAACATATTGGCATACAACAAGGTTACGTATAATAAAAAGTACAACGTAGTATTAGCTGATTACTTAAACAGTTAGATACATGCACAAGTGTACATATTTCATTAAAGAAGTAATATTATCTTAATTACAAATCAACTGTTGCATGTGGCCCCAAAACTTTAAGAACTTTGATTGCAATTACTCTTAAGGAGAAATATTCAAAACAATTTTTTATACAATGTTTTCAGAACAGTCTAAACTATCTTTAAAGTGCAAATTTTTTTTTTGCAAGTAGAAGAAATGCATATTTAAGGAATACATGTAATTATAATTAAGCAGCTCATAAAGCTACTTCGAGAAGCCAAATAAACTTATTCAGGTAATTCAAGCTACGTAGCTAATTGTAGTGATTGTACCAAACCTGACCATCTAGATAGAATGTTCTATCATTAAAATGATAAATGTCCTACGGACCCAGGGCTGTCCCGAGACACAATTAGATTATTCCAACTATACTGACTATCATTCAAGGATATTATTTTTCTGCCATCTAAAATGACAGACAACATGAAATCTTTTGTCAAGTCAAAAAAAATAAAATAAAAATTTTGTAATTATTTCATATACTACTGAGCTCAGCCAGACTTACACTGTCACGCACATATTTTCATTTATTATATATCCAACTGTGTATCACTCAGTTTTATTGTTGATTTCAATCACATGATGGTGTGATCCAACTTTCCAGATCACCACACTGTGTGTTTTCTGAATCCATATCACCCCTCTCCGAAACTGATGACGTAGTATACAGCAGGGTTCTCATTAATTTTTAAAGTAGGTGGAGAAAAAGAAAAAGTAGGGGAAACAGTTAATTTGAGGGCTGAAGGCCTGAACCAAGCCCCATCGGTCCAAGGGGAGGAGTCCAAGAGGGGGGTTCCCCCTTTTGGCAATAGGGGGATCCAGGGGTCCTCCCCCTGAAATTTTTAAAATTTACATTGCAGGAGGTGGCATCTAGGACCTCTCTGGGCATATTTTGACTTGTTTTATTTGTTCTCAAAATGACATTTTTTTAGGAGCTCATATAAAAAAAAAACAAAACAAAACACACAGGAGTAGCACACAGCCTATCCATCTTCCTTGATTTTTGTAATTAGTTGTAAATAAAGATTTTTTAGTCCCCTACCAGTGAAACCGGAGGGGACTATAGGTTTCCTCTGAGTCTGTCCGTCCGTCTGTCTGTCCCTCTGTCTGTCTGTCAGTCTGTCCCACTTGGTTTTCCGCACTTTTTTCTTAAACGCTTGCAGATATTGAGCTGATTTTTGGTATGTGAGTGTATCTTGATGAGTTACAGATCAAGTTTGCCTTTCGTTCCGCTTCAATGATTTTTGACAGAATTATGGCATTTTCAATTTTTAATGGCAACCAGATTACACTTGCCGGTAGGGGACTAGTATTGCTAATGCAATACTCTCAGAATGCTTGTTAAACAAAGTTTTGCTTCATTTTTGTAGCAGTTGCTTGGTTAAATGTATTAATATTTATGTTTAGTAGATACATGTATTATCACAATTATAAAGAATGTGCAAGTTTCATTGAAATCCATTCAGAAAGTAATAGGTACCCTGGTTATCCTTTGTTAGAAAATATGACACACATTTATAGACTGACTAATGAATCTGACGCCTATATTTTTCTCAGCTGCAGCCAGTAGCAATCCTAATCCGAGATTCCTCTGACTTTAACCCCTGCTTTTATACTGTGTCATGTGCAGGGGACATGTCACAATATAAAAGCAGGGGTTAGAGTCAGAGGAATCTCGGATTATAGCCATCCATATGTAGGTGTCATAACTGAGTATTTCACTTGAGGTTCACGTCAAATCATGGCTGACGCAAAATAATTCCTGAATCTTCCCTTCCGATTCGGGCATTTTAATACGAGACTGGAGCTGAATTTTTTTATGAGATGAAAAACAATATGTAAACTTCCTGTATTGACCAGATTCATTATAATTTAGGGCGTGCTGATTTTTCTATATACTGTATTTGAGTGGTGAGTGATTAGGTCCTGGACTTGATTTTCAAGCACCTGCTCGACTTCGACCAAAACAAAATTGCGTGCCTTGCTGGATGGCTATGTATTTTTTGGTACTAAAATCTTTATAAAGAATTGTTTTACAAGATCTGAAAAGGAAACTTCTCAAAAGTTTGTTTTCAATTAATACCACATACTCAAAGTTGCACATTTTTGGTAAGAATATATAGCAAAATTTAATACTGTTGTGCAACCTGTATGGATACATGTATCCTTGGGGTCATTACATGCAAATTATACCTTGATACTTTTTAAATATGCATTATTCATTTATAAAAACATATCTTACTTATTTGTGATTTTGATTTATAAATTTCTATGCAATATATGTATTATGATTTTCTGTACACTGAATTATTTATGTACCATGTTTTAATAAAAGAGAAAAAAAAAACATAACTTACATCTAATACAAGTGTTTTCAGTATCTCAAATTTAGACCTCGGTCTCTTTTTTACACCATATTCTCGTCTCCTAATTTGTTGATACACATTTCTACACTTTTCTTCCATGTCACTATAAAAATGAAAATGAAAGTAGAAAGTAAGACCACGAAATAGCACGATATAGATCAGTATTTCCGGATATAATAATAAAGGCCTCGACAGGCCCCGGGGATAAATTTCAGATGGGAGGGCACAATCTAAAAAAAAAAAATTCCCCGTGCAAAAAAAAAACAAACAAACAAACAAACAAAACAAAACAAAACAAACAAACAAAGACATTTTTGAGGGAGGTGGAGGGGAATCCAGGATTCCAAAAGGAAAAGGGGATGATCGAGTGAGGTGTAAAATACATATTTTGACAAAAAATATATATGTAAATCAATGGTGATAATACTAAAACATAGGTAATAAAAGTCAGGTCAAAATGATCGTCATAGTATGATTTTCATACAAGCAGTTTTATAATTCCATTCAGTAATGTTGAAGAAGTATTGCCAGCCTACTCCTCCCAAGCCTTATAATGACCTAATATAAATGATCATAATAGAGGTGCGTTGGGTGCGACCCTCCACCCCCACCCCGGCACAACCCCTACCGACTGCATTATAACAAAATGTTGAAAATCGCAAGTTTGAAACAAAAACAACAAGATGTGTTTGTGAAACACTGATGCCCCCGTATGGCAACTTATGCGAAGGTTAACTTTCTCAAATATAAATCAAATACGTTGGTACGAAAGGTAAGGTCTAGTCTCGAAGAATATACCTGTGAAACATGAAAGCCCTAGCTGCAACCATTGAAAAGAAGTGGAAAAGGTTAAAGTTTTTCAAAAGTGAGTCAAACATCAAGGTCATAGTGAAACAGTCAAAATTAATGGTGCCCAAGAAAAGGACTTCTCACAAGAATTACACATGTGAAAAATGAAAACTCTAGAACCAACCATTCAAAAGTTATGGTCAAGGTTAACATTTTTCAAAAGTAGATCAAACTCCAAGGTCAAACTTGTTGGTATCCAAAGTAAGGTCTTGTCACAAGGATTACATGTGTGAAGTATGAAAGACCTTGCACCTACTATTCAAAAGTAATGTCAAGGATAAGATTTTAAAAAGTAAATCAAACTCCAAGGTCAAGGTCAAACGGTAAAAGTTCTTGGTATCAAAAGGAAGGTCTTATCACAAGGATTACATATATGAAGTATGGAAGCCCTAGCACAAACTGTTCAAAAGTTATGGCCAAGGTTAATGTTGGGTAAAATTTTGCAAAACTGGGTCAAACTTCGAGGTCAAGGGCAAATATGATGGTACCAAAAGAAAGGTCTTGTCACAAGGAATACACATGTGAAATATAAAAGCCATAGCTCTAACAAATCAAAAGATATGGGCAAGGTTAAAGTTTTTTGCGGACAAACAGACAGCTAGACAGACGGACGGACAGGACAAAAACTATATGCCCCCGAATCTTCGATTACGGTGGCATAAAAACATAATATTTTTAACTGAATTATTTATCTGTAAAAAGTAATGCTACTTTATTTTTATGCCCCCGTATCGAAGATTCGGGGTATATAGTTTTTGCCCTGTCCGTCCGTCCGTCTGTCTGTCTGTCTGTTTATTTGTCTGCTTGTCTGTTTGTCCGCAAAAACTTTAACATTGCCCATAACTTTTGATTGGTTGGAGCTATGGCTTTCATATTTCACATGTGTATTCCTTGTGACAAGACCGTTCTTTGGGTACCACCATATTTGACCTTTTGACCTTGGAGTTTGACCCAGTTTTGCAAAATTTTACCCAACTTTAACCTTGGCCATAAATTTTGAACAATTGGTGTTAGGGCTTCTATACTTCACATGTGTAATCCTTGTGACAAGACCTTTCTTTGGATACCAACAAACTTGACCCTTTGACCTTGTCCTAGGAGTATAACCTACTTTTGAAAAACTTTAACATTGGCCATAACTTTTGAACGTTTGGTGCTAAGGCTTTCATACTTCACATATGTAATCCTTGTGACAAGACCTTCCTTTGGATACCAACAACTTTGACCCTATGACCTTGACCTTGGAGATTGACCTACTTTTGGAAAACTTTGACCTTGGCCATAACTTTTGAACCGTTGCAGCTAGGGCTTTCATACTTCTCATATGTTATCCTTGTGACAAGACCTTTCTTTGGATACCAACAACTTTGACCCTTTGATCTTGACCTTGGAGTTTGACCTACTTTTGAAAAACTTTAAAGTTGACCATAACTTTTGAACGGTTAGTGCTAAGGCTTTCATACTTCACATATGTAATCCTTGTGATAAGACCTTCCTTTGGATACCAACAACTTTGACCGTTTGACCTTGACCTTGGAGTTTGACCTACTTTTGGAAAACTTTAACCTTGGCCATATCTATTGAACCGTTGGTGCTAGGGCTTTCATACTTCACATATATAATCCTTGTCACAAGATCTTCCTTTGGATACCAACAATTGTAATCAATTGACCTTGACCTTGGAGTTTGACCTTCTTTTGAAAAACTTAAACCTTGGTCATAACTTTTGAACGATTGGTGCTTCAACATTCATATTTTACACATTTTATTTAATTCATATTTTACAAGAAATATACAGATTTCTTCTGAGAAGGCCTTTCCTTAGGCACCATTAACTTTGACCATTTGACCTTGACCTGGATGTTTGACTTACTTTTTAAAAAACTTTAACCTTTTTCATATCTATTCAATGGTTGGTGCCAGAGCTCTCATATTTCACAGGTATATTCCTCGGCACAAGACCTTCCTTTGGGTACTAACTATTTGATTTGCATTTGAGAAATTTTAACCTTTGCTATAAGTTGCCATACGGGGGCATCAGTGTTTCACAAACACATCTTGTTTATTTTATTTATTTGTTTATTTTTTGTTCGTTTGTTTGTTTTGTTTTGTTTTTTTTTATGCCCCCGTATCGAAGATTTGGGGGTATATAGATTTTGCCCTGTCCGTCCGTCTGTTTAGCTGTCTGTCTGTCTGTTTGTTCGCAAAAACTTTAACATTGCCCATAACTTTTGATTGGTTGGAGCTATGGCTTTCATATTTCACATGTGTATTCTTTGTGACAAGACCTTTCTTTGGGTACCACCATATTTGAGCTTTTGACCCTGAACGTGGAGTTTGACCCAGCTTTGCAAAATTTTACCAAACTTTAACCTTTGCCTTAACGTTTTAATAGTTGGTGCTAGGGCTTTCTTACTTCTCATGTGTAATCCTTGTGACAAGACCTTTCTTTGGATACCAACAACTTTAACCTTTTCACTTTGACCTAGGAGTTTGACTTACTTTTGAAAACTTTAACCTTGGCCATAACTTTTGAACGGTTGGTGCTAGGGCTTTCATACTTCACATGTGTAAACCTTGTGACAAGGCCTTTCTTTGGATACCAACAACTTTGACCCTTTGACCTTGACCTTGGAGTTTGACCTACTTTTGGAAAACTTTACCATTGGCCATAACTTTTTGGACGGTTGGTGCTAGGGCTTTCAAACTTCACATATGTAATCCTTGTGACAAGACCTTTTTTGGATACCAACAACTTTGACGTTTTGACCTTGACCTACTTTCGAAAAACTTTAACCTTGGACATAACTTTTGAATGGTTTGTGCTAGGGCTTTCATACTACACATGTAATCCTTGTGACAAGACCTTCCTTTTGATACCAACCACCTTGACCATTTGACCTTGGAGTTTGACCTACTTTCGAAAAACTTTAACCTTGGCCATAGCTTTTGTATGGTTGGAAGTAGGGCTTTTATACTTCATATATGCAATCCTTGTGACAAGACCTTCCTTTGGATACCAACAACTTTGACCTTGACCTTGGAGTTTGACCTATTTTTGAAAATCTTTAATCTTTGCCATACCTTTTAAACATTTGGTGCTACGGCTTTCATACTTCACATGTGCATTCCTTGGGACAAGACTTTCCTTTGGATACCAACAATTTTGGCATTGACCTTGACCTTGGAGTTTGACCTACTCTTTTAAAAACTTTAACCTTGGCCATAACATGTTAACGTTTGGTTCTAGGGCTTTCACATTTCACGAACATGTGTTTCACTTTTGACAAAACCTTCCTTTGGAGCCCCATTTGACCTTGACCTTGACGTTTTACTTACTTTTAAAAAAACTTTAATCTTCGCCATAACTTTTCAACAGTTGGAGCTAGGGCTTTCAATTTCACAGATATATTCCTCGAGACAATACCTTTCTTTGGCCTATGGATACCAACATTTTTAATCTCTTGACTTGGATTTTGACTTGCATTTGAGAAACTTTAACCTTCGCCATAAGCTGCCATACGGGGGCATTAGTGTTTCACAAACACATCTTGTTCAGTTTGTAATCAATTCAAAATTAATACAAGCTCGCCTGCCACAGAACACATCTTCAGTGCAACAAAATATCATTTTAAGATACAGATGTATATTAAAATGATATTTTGTTTTATTGAAAATGTGTTCTAAGGCAGGCGAGCTTTCATTAATTTTGAATTGATTGCAACTTGAACAATTAATACAGTAAAATAGTTCTAACGATGCGCCGATCTATTTTTTAAAACTGAAATATGTATGGTACGATAGTTCTTCTCTTCTTTGGTGGAATAAGCGAAAGTTCTGTGCTGAGATTACTGTAATAGCAATCATAATTGGACATCTTGCAAGTCAATCATATGCACTACTGCCCCAGTCCCTAGCTGGAAGTAATATATTAAATTTCTATGTAAGGCCATTCCAAGTTTTTTCTCTGTTTAGCGTACACCCATCTTTCAAAAACCTACTCTACCTAATCGCAAAAAACACACAAACCAAAAAATAAAACACAGACTTTATAGTCATAAAAATGACGTCACTCAAAGGATTTGATTTCATTAATCTACTTTTCTCGTAGAAAAAAAAACATTCTTCAGCAAAATCAAGGTATTCAATGCTTACAATATTCCTAATGTGATTATCGTATATAAATATTTTAAGAAAATGACAGAATTCAGTGATTTTGACCAGAATATTCAATTTGAGGACTCATGATTATGTT